TCCCCTGAAAACTGGGAGTGCTCCAGGGTCTACCATCGAATGGAATTGATCTCTACAGATCCTGCATGAGTCAGCTTATATCTGGCAACAGGGAAATGCATTTTCTGGTAAACCCACCAGACAAGCGGGGAGCACAGTGATGGTAGGAGCGTAGGCAACTCTACCCGGTGCATCAGGTAAACCCACCGCGCTGCAGGGACTTTCTCTTCCCAACCCCAGCCCCAACTCACAAAATCGGTGAAAACTGTACAATCACCCCAGAAAAAAGCACAGAATTTGGCAAAGTAATTCAGAAGTTCTGGAAGCTGAAACCAACCCATGGAATCCCAGAGGACCCCTGGACAAATCCGTGGGCACCAGCCTGCAGGCCCCTGCACAGAGAGCGAAGTTCAATGCCAATAAAATGTCACAGCTCAAGGAGAGGGACACGGCAAAGCAGATGCACACCCTGCACGGGGCTCCTCTGGGGATGGCGCCTCCTGTGGGCGGCTCCCACGGGGCTGAGGATGGCGGCCACACAGGCTCCTGCAGCCTGGTTGCTAGGCAGTGACACCCACACTCTGTCTTCAACGCTGAACCACAGACCGAATTTTCCGATGCTGATCTCAGAGCTCAGTCGCTCACACACCAGAAAAGTCACGTGGCTATGGGCGGAGCAAAGAATTCCTACTTAGTGTCTCAAAATAATTGAAGGATAACAAATGCCAGAGACTCAGAAGGAACAAAAGCACTGTGGGTGAATCTGAAGCCCTTCTCTAAAAACTCGGAGACCACCGAGACAGCCCAGCTGATTGTGACTCATGGAGGGGACACGGTTTTATGTGCATGAGTGGAGCACAACTCGCTGGCTGCAGGCTGGTGGGAATGAGATCAATATTATGGATCGGAGGCACACAGAGCAGCTCCTTGTCTGACCCCAACAACAGATGGGCCCTCATTGCTGGGTGCGTGTGGATGGGGCAGGACAGTCCCTCCCCAGTGCTGAACACGCCAGCGAACGGACTGGTCCCTGTTTCCCTGACCGGAAGCCTGAAAACGCCCCAGGAAGTCTGGCTTGAGTTCAGTCTTCCAACACACACAGAATTAGCACATTTTAATTTGTCAAAAAAATTTTTTTTTTTAATCTGGAAGGCATTTAAAAGGCCAGGGACTCCACACCCATTGTTTCAGAGCTTACAGCTAAAACTCAGATCCCCTCTACGGACAGGGAGACCAAGACACGGGGGTCTGCACAGCTAAGGGGCAGCACTAAGCCAGGAACGAAGCAAATACCTGCTCCCACAGAGGTCCGGGTGCTGGGAACCCCCCCCGACCTGCAGACTCGAAGCCCACTGGCCTCCCTGCTCTCAGCAGTGTCTGTCCATTCGGCGCTGCCAAGGTAATGCCCACTGTACACTCGGAGCGAACTGTATCGTATGGGAGTACAGCAGGGAAGCCTGCTATAACAACTCTTCAACAAGTAACACGTCCGACACGGAGCTGAGATTAGTGAGTGACAGGTTCAGGAAACGCAAACACAAGGAGGGGCCCAACAACAGACTGATGCTCTGCAAAGCGCCCCTCCCAGGACTCTGGGGCCGAGAACACGGCTTCCTGGAGGCCTTCTCATCTGGAAAGCTGCATCCGGACAACTCCCGGACAATTCCCAATCCAACCCTTTTATGGTCACAATCTGTTAATGAGGGAAGACCCCTCCACGGACGAACAGCACATTAATTCTCTCTCCTGGAGAAGCCAGCATTACCTACACATGACCAGTCACCTTCATCCTGCTCTTCATTATTCCAAGAAACAGGCAGTTTACAGAGTAACCGGCAGTTCTGTGTTCCCGCTCTGAACCTACACTCTGTTGTCCCGGCATCCAAGCACGCGTGTAACTGAAGCCATAAGAGGAAGAGGATCTGCCAAGCAGCGTCTCAGCTTCTAGGGTCCACACGGCACCACCCTGCCCAGTCCGAGAGCCCTTCCTTCCAGACGAAGCGATCCCACCAGCTGGAGAGCCAGCACGAGCACTTTACTAGGTCTTATGCAATCACAGGACAACCTGGAAGCCTCTTCCAGTCCCTACTTCTGTGGATGGAACTGGACCCTGAGAACAGACAGTGGTCAGTCCTCCAGATTCTGGAGGGACTGCCACAGGCTGGGAAGGTTCCAGTCACAAGAACTCTTGACTCCCCCGACACACAAACTCCTTATTGTGCTCCAGGCAGCTGTCAGATGCAGATCAGCTGAAGGAATCAACCAACCAACTGATGCACGTCCTCCCACCCTCTATCTGCTGAAATCCTGCTCCTTCTTTAAAACCTAGCTTAAGAGGCGTCTCTCTGAGAAAATTATCCTTTTTTGATCTCCCAAAATATTTTGCGCCCTGGTTTCTGTTAAGGAATGTATCACAGTGCGTCACACCCATGTTCTTGCATCCGTCTCCTTGGGCTTCCAAAGGCACCGTCTACCCCTTACTCATTTGGGGGTTACCAGGACATGGCGCTCGGTTTAGAACAGGCCTTCAATAAACAGGTAGGTAGAAAGACACAGTTTAATTAAAAATTTAACAGTGGTTGGTGATTCCATTTTTCTTTTCATTTGCTCAACAAACTCATTGGGCACCCACTGCAGGCCCAGTCACAGAGCCGGAAGGGAAACAATGAGGGATTAACAAATTGGAGATGAAGTCCCCCACATACTCATCAGTTACCAGTACCTTGGTTTCTTAAAATAAAGGCACTGTACTAACAGACCATTCTGAAAGAGGGTGCACGCCACCACCAAGGTCCGTAGCACATGAAGTGACATGGATTACGCCCACCCACAAAACGGAGCAGAACAAATGTCTATGGATGGCAGACAGGTCTGTCAATTAAATTCTCTCTTTAGGACAGTGTGCAATAAAGATTCTTCCCAAACAATTGCTTTCACCGAGGTTATGTGTGTGCTTTTTCAAAGGGACATGAAAAGGTCACAGCAAGTCTGCAGAACACAATCGTATATGTTTCCAAGTATTTTCCAAAGTCTCTTGAACTTTGGATACATCAACAAACTTCTCCTTAAATTGAAGAATGAAGAAAACTGGATACTCTCCAAAGTGCCACATTTTCTTCTCCCTGACAATGACAACTATGTCCCTGCCGTCACGGATGGAAGCTCGTAGGAACGCTTACGGCGCCTATCTCCTTTCTTCCATGGACAGTCGACCCTTGAATAACTTGGCTTTAACCTGTGCGGGTCCACTTCTACACAAGTTTCTTTGATAAATACAGAGCAGCAGTACCATAAATGTGTTTTTTCTTATCATTTTCTTAATGACGTTTTGTGTCCTCTCACTTACTTTATTGTTGGAACACGGTATAGGATTCATATAGCATACAAAGTGTGGGCTAGCCAACTGTTGATGTTATTGGTAGGTTTTTAATAGTTAAGATTTTGGAGAGTCAAATTACATATGAGGATTTTCAACGTACAGGGGGTTGGTGCCCCTAACCCCCATGTTCTTTAAGGGTTGACTGTATTTTAAAAATTGAGTCTTCCTCCTATATGCTTTTTAATATTGCTAACCGATTCGAATTCTATTCTAAGTTAGCGCAACAGAGTCATAAATAAAAAGATGAGTAAGAAAACGTAGTGCTGCCTTAATATGCAGTATCTGTTCTACGGATCAAAGCTGTCCCTGATGACTTGAGCACAAGGAGGCAATCTTAATTACAAATACATTTCAACATTGCTACCATTATAAACACACAAAGGCATGATTTTGTTCATAAAACCAAGACACATGTTGGATTTGCAACCAATACTGACAAGCAATTTAAATGGGCTTTTACAAACTTTTAACAAATGAGATACCCAAGTTGAACTTGAGTAAGATCTTACCAACACGCATCAGTTTGGAAGAACCCTCCCCTTCCCTCCCCACATCACTCCTCAGTATATCCCCACTGTGGAAAATCTGTGACACAGTCTGGTATTTTGATTATTTGCTGGGACTGTCTGCAATTCCTTTAAGAAGGACTTAGCAGTTAGTGATTCAGGACTGTAGGACCTGTAATACCGTGCCTGAGGACGTGGTCTACCAGGCCGATTACCCAACGAAGTGACTGACTATTAACGTTACACAAACAAGAACAATGGGAGACCTCAAAGCAAATTAGACCTAAAGCTCATCAGGCCCTGCTCCTGTGAGTCCGAGCAAACGTGCATATGCAGCCAGAAAAGTTACAGGGTTTAAAGGCATCTTCTTCTGAACATGTCGGAAGCAAAATAATCTGAAAGGTTTAATATAAAGGCTCATTCCATGTATGAAAAGTTTACTGCAAGTCCCCATTCACTCTATTTGGTGTGTTCCACAACTGGGGCAGAGGCTGGTGAGTAAGTGAAACTAGCCAGGCTTTATTTGGATTAAAAAAGAGAAATGGAAGGAGAAAGTCATGAATACTATACTACGTTCAAAATCTACAGTCCAAAGACCATAAATATTACCCAGCTGTTGAAGCATTGCCAAAGTATCAGGACACCCTTGGCTCATCTTGGCTCATCAGGGCCTGGCACCCCCTCCCTGGGGAGCCTGGGGGAGGGGAGAGAGGAGGGGCTGCATGAGGTGGTGCACAGCAGAGCAGAGCCTACCACCAAGGTCCACACGCTAGAGGACTTCCATGCATGCTCAGGAGATAGGAGACAGAGCCCTCACTGGGGGAGGGCTCTGAACTGGGAAACGCAGAAGAGAAATCAGACCTGGGGAGACTGAACGCATCCTATATGGTGGGGTTCTCTGTAAACCCAAAGGATGCACACCAGTGGGGACAAGCTCAAAGATGAGGGTCCAGTGGGCTTATCTGTCTACATTTATCAGCCAACATAAAATACAGGCTCCAGAGATGGTATCGTTCAACAGCCTGACCATCTCCGTGGGTCCTTGGATGCTGTGGAGGCCGAGGAAACAGGGCCTATTCGGTCAGCGCTGACGCCGGCTCCAAGATGCGCACACACATTAGTAAAGTGTCACTTACTTGGCTTAGCGTTGGTGACCACCGCCAGGCTCTCGGGTGAGTGCACAGGGGGACACCTGTTTTCTCCAGCACCATCATTACTGCCATACTCTATTACTTCCACGTGTCCAAGAGGAACGCTCCACTTTAATAAATACCTTTGGCTGGTTGACATTATCGTGTTGCTGTCTGAGGTGCTGAAAGAAGGAGGCACCAGGATGTTATGATTCATTACAGGTGTAAGTCAGGATACTTTTCATCCCTTAGATATTCAAGTGAGAAACACATCCTGCTTCTGCCTTTCTTACAAACAGCTACCATTTAGTTCTGTAAAGTGGCCTCCCAGTGGATGGTAGGAACTCTTCACTGCCTAATCTTGGAAGACGGGAGAACACAGAATGCTTATCTCCCAGAAAACTCTCTTGTTCCCATAAAAGCTTAAAGGGAACATGCTGGAGGCTCCCTGATGGATACTGGAGCCAAGATACTCATGTGTTCTGGCAAATACTGTTAACAGGGAAAATCTCCTATGTGCAGAGATATTCTCTGGTCATTTCCTATCAAAGTTCCTTCTTTATTCTCAGTTATACTGTAACCATTTTAATAAAATTAAATCCTGTCATTATGCTCCATGATTAAGATACTTACTATGTAAAAATTAAATGAAAAAATCCTATGACCTATGTAGATTTTTTCTCCTTTTACCATAAAATGGGGCATACATGAAGAGACACACACAAAGCATGGCTGTCCAAATAGGTGGAAAATGCTAGAGCAGACACGTCCTTGGCCAGCACTCAGTCAAGGCTACAAGGCTACCAGCAGCCTGAGGTCCTCCATGTGCCAGGAACCCCCCTCAAGACAATCACTGTTCCTTACTCTGGTGATTGTATTACAGTTCACTTTCTTCAAGATAATACATATATTTTCCAATCAAAATGTAGACAGAAATAACCAAAATGCCGGACACTATACTTTAAACTGAAATACTTGGCATGTTGGGAGCCAACTGGTACCCAAGTGCCCCGACTTCCCTCTGATGTTAGAGGGCTTTACTTTTCAATGTCTAGTCTGCGTGGGAAGGGGAAGGAGAAGGCAGAACTCAGACACTGAGTAAGAAAGACTGCATGTTCTGTGAGTTACGTGTGCTCTCTATACAAAAACAGAGAAGCCCATGAACTGGCCCCAATTTCTACTCATCCTGTTGGAATCTAAAATCCTCACTCCTATAGAGGTTTGGGGGACCTTGCTGTTCTGATAACCCTTGGGGCCATTTGAACATTTCAGCCTGACCAAAGTGGGTCGTCCCTTCACTGCCTCCTGGGGGTGTCCCTTGAGAACACGTCAGTGGGAACTGAGCTGTCTCCCTTTCCTCACTTTGTAGAAGGTCGTCCGAACCTGGGATCCCTGCCACAGCCCGGGTGTTATTTTAAGGAACAGCCCTGGTAGTGAACACAGATAAATCCATTTTTAAGTGTTCATCCACTTCTTATTCATCTTGGAAGTGTATTTGTCAGCTTGAGGTTTTTAAAACGACATAAAATTTCAAAAGACCCAAACTGACGGAGGAGCATTTGGGGCACCTGGGGGTAGCTCAGTCGCTTAAGCGTCTGACTCTTGATTTTGGCTCAGGTCATACTGGGGTCGCGAGATTGAGCCCCACATCAGGCTCCACGCTGAGCGCAGAGTCTCCTTGAGATTCTCTCTCTCCCTCTGCCCCTCCCCCACTCATGCTTTCTCCTCTCTCGTAGAATCTTTAAAAAAATTGGCATATTTTGCAGACTTATTCTGTAGCTGCCTCAAAGCAGGTGAGGACGAGGAGGAACCATAATAAAAATGGATAGTCACCAGGCAGCACTGTGCCGGGTGCGGAGCTGAAGGGCCTGACAGTGGTCCCTGGCCAGACCCTCCCAGGAGTCCCAGGGATGGCTGGCTTCCCCACCATTACTCTGCAGAGCATGGGCGTAAGGCTCAGGGAGATGGGGTGATTCCCCGGAGCCCTGAGAAGGCTGGAACCCGGGCTGCGCGGCGTGAGCCCCTGGATGCCCCCCCGCCTCGGCCTCCCTCCCGGGGCTCCTCGGCACCACAGGGCAGTCGCCACAGGAGGACCACAGGCACACGTGCTGGCTTCCATCCGGTGGTGTGCTTGCGAAAGCCTAACACCCAGCCTCTACCGGGAGAGGGAGCCCTGCCTGTCTCACGGGCCAGTCTCTATGCTGTCAACACCCGGAGTGGACGAGTTCGAGTGGCCAGTGGTTGGCAACTGCATCCCAAACTCCTGAGAGTTTAACAACGGAGCCTCTCAAGCCATGATGAGCTGCTCAGGACACCACGTCAGCATGCACTACTTGATAAAGCACCCAGGGCATTTAGCTCAAAACATTCACGTCTACCTCAGTTCCCTCACCATCCCTCTCTACCTGAAGACCCTAACTTCTCAAATATCGTCATCCAGCTACAACATTCTAGGTGTTAGGGAGCAGTCCTGATGGTAAATGACTTTAAGGATAAGAAATGAGGAAGTGGTACATACTCATTTTCTTGGTTCACAGTGAATATAAACGCCACCGACATAATCATAGAAGAAAAACGCTTACCAAAAATGTCTCCACAGAGAGGCAGCTAAAGAGAAAGAGTCTGAACAATGATCACAAGAAGACTGTAGAGTGATTGAGGAGGGAAATAAAAGAAACACAATGCAGTTTCTGGTTCCAACACTGGCCTTACGTTTAAAGAAAAATATACCATTCGTCCTGAATTTCCTCCAGCAGTGACCTTGTGACTTAACACTGGACCCATTTAAAAATACACTAGTCTAGGGGCACGTGCGTGGCTCAGTCAGTTAAGTGTCTGCCTTCGGCTCAGGTCATGATCCCAGGGTCCTGGGATCAAGCCCTGCATGGGGCTCCCTGCTCAGCGGGGAGTCTGCTTCTCCCTCCCCCTCTGCTGCTGCCCCTGCTCGTGTTCTCTCAAATAAATAAAATCGTTCTAAAAAAATTAAAAAATAAAATAAAAATACGCCTGTCTAAGTCCTGGTTCCCCTTCATCACAGGATGAGGTGACGAAGTTCTGCGCACATATAGAGGCAGCTTGAATGGGAGCATTATTGGAGCCGTCCACTCATCTGGGACACGGCACGTTCCCAGGCACAAAGCTGATCCCGCGAACTAGGCGCATGCTCACCGTGCACTGACCGTGGCACACATTAACACATCGCTCAGCATGAAGATGCGGCGCTCCTTGGTTTTAATGATCTCTCCTCTGTCGTTGTAAACGGTTTCTATCATATCGTCAGATCGCACGAGGTACCGATTCCCACTGCTGAGAAGCTGAACATTCAAAGTCACACTTGACATGCTTCCCACAATCGAGTTCATCAAACGAAGAAAAAGGGTGAGCGTAAGTCTTGCAAAATACAGGAGCATAAAGTGTCAAAGCTTTGCAGATTTTCCCCTTTACAGAGAATTCATGCACTTCCAATCGTACTTTTTGTGTATACTACGTAGAATTCTCAGAGTGGCTTTTTTTTTTTTAACTACATAGTTTCACGGACAGTGTTTGGAGTTATCCTAAACAGTGAAAGGAGTCTAACCCAGCCCTTGTAAAGACAATTCCTCCAGCTGAGTGATACGACTCAGCAAAGGAGGGCTCATTTGTTTTCACCTGTCAGGCATATTCCTTCTCTTTAAATGACTTGCCCGAGTACAAGCTCCATTCCTTACAGACTCTCATCCACAGCCGGCCAACCATTGTTATTTATAAGTCTACGCCGACCAGGAATGTTTTATTTAAGTGCAAGAGCTACTCGGGGATTTTTGTTTTCCCAAAGGATAGCATAATTAAGAAAACATCTTAGCTTCTTGCGATACGCCATATTTCATTTCACTGAGCTAAACACAGTACCCTTGGTCCTTTGCAGAGATGCTTTGTACTCCTTAGTATGATGAGATAACTCATATAGAAGTCAGACTTTTAACAATTCAGCCCAAAGGAACATGGGGAATTCATGTTCAGATGGTCCGAACACCCAGGTGGCGTTCTGATCCTTTATCTACAGTAGCCAAGTTCACTGTCAACCTATTCTTGACGTGCTCACAGGGATGATGAGGCTGTGTGCACAGGTTCGGGATCGCTAGCGAGGAACACACACCACTTCCTTATCGGCCTTACTCTGTCCCCACAAGTTTGCAAGCACTGTTACCACAGGCAAGCAGGATCCTAAACAACATAACCATCACTTAATGCAATTTTCAGCTCATAGAAATTCCTATATAAATCATTTAGAAAATCAGGAAAAACCTGTTCCTCAAAATGTATTAAAGTTCTTGTAGTTAAGCCACTGACTGTCACTGTCTGGTAGGAAATTACCCTTACAGACAGAAATGAAAGTGATTTTAGCAACGAAAAATACGTTATGAAATTATTTAACACCGCTCCTATCAATGAACCTCTTCCTGTGGACCAGGGCCATAAGTAAGTGTGGTGAAGTCTACATAAAATCAGCTTGCTGTTGCAAGAAAAGGACGTGTCAATGTAAAGCAGAAATACAGCCTAGGAACTGCTTTCGTGCCGTATTTTCCTCACGTTTCCATGATAAACACAGCTTAGTCCGTGCACAGACAGGTGCAGATAAGAACGTATGTAACATCCTCTGCTTTGATTATGACTATCTAAGAGGAAACACTGCATTTGGGCAGTAAGATTCAGACCGTGCGAGGGTCTCGTGACTGTGGGAGCCCCTTCCCCGAGAAAACGCGCCCGGACCCGCCCGATGCTCTCCATCGACTTCTGAGGCAGGGCCCTGGGCCGCGGCATCCCTGCAAAGCTTCCAGAAGATTAATAGCAAGTGGTGGGAAGAATGGCGGCTTGTTAGTACAAAGCAAACTGAATCCCAGCACAGACTGAGAAGCCTCGGTCAACCTTGTTCAGGTATCTCTCGTTAATGGCTTTGGCGACGTGCTTGATCTCGCAGCGCTGGTCGGCGTCTCTCTTTCTCTCATTCAGCTTCTCCGCTAAGGTTTCCAGCTCCGTCAGTGCCATCTGAAGGGGCAGCCGGTCAGGGTGGCCTTTGGATGTATTCTTCAGCATGTCCTGGGGGAGAAAGATGGTGAAAAGGAGACATGTGACTGCTGGTTGTGAGGCAGCAGGTGGCTGCCCACGCACGCTCCCAGCCAGGAGCTGCGACGTCTGGCGGCTGCATCAGCTACTTCTGGGGGAGGATAAAATAAGCAGCGGGGAGAGGATAATAAGCCAAGTGACTCACGATCTGGAAACACACTGGAACAGCTCCTCTTGCAAAAACAAAATGAACTTATTAAACAGCTTTGCTAATGGAAAAAAGCAGCCATTCCCAATAAAGGGCACTATAAATACGAATGTGCCACATCTGGGAAACATCCCGCCCTCTGTAGCTACGTTCAGGTAACTCCCAGCCTGTCTCTCTCAACCCGAGTCGGAACAGTGCACCCAGGCCCCAAAGGTCGGCTTCCAAACGCAAAGTGGGCGGCATTACTCCTGTGCCTTCACCCCGCCCCCGGGGGCGTCCCACCGCTGCTGGAAGAGGGCCACACACCCTCCCGTCCGCGTCCGCAGGGTCACCAAGGGAAGAGGAGGTTGCACGGAGGACAAGGGAGCAACAATCTGGTGACCGATAAAACGGCACCACGTGCGTCCATCGCGGGAGTCGGCGTGCAGGAGCGACATCTAAGTGACAGTCCCGAGGGGGTCACCTTGCTTTTCCACCGGACCCTTAGTGTGGTTCAGCTGGCTCACGCAGAGCACACCGACTTCCACTGGCGGAGGCAGATGCGGGCGGAAGCACCCTTCTCGCCTGGCCCCCCACAGCTGACGCCCGCTCAGCCGGCACAGGAATGCCACCGGGCCCTCAGCTTGTGACCTGCTTTTCATCTGAAGAGACACAACCCTCCAGAAGTGATGACATATTTCCGATCTGAACGGACCATATACACCGTGCTGTACGCCCGTTTCCCTACAAATCACTTCAAATCCTATCAAGGCCACGAAGTCATGTCACGAGGATTCTGGCTCCAAAGTCACGAGCTGGCGAAGCCGGCCTGGGACCTGAGCACAATCAGGACAAGCACCATACCAGGGGAGCCGTGGAGTGGGGCGGGGGGCATCCTCCAGATGCCGGGAGAGAACCGAGTAAGGAAAAAGGGATGTCTGTCGTTCTGTCCAGACTGAGAGTCATGTTGGTCCAACATGGGACAGAAAATGGCAGCAGGATACAGTGAGACAGAGATTCCTACGGCACCACGTGTCCCAAACCAGCAGGCCTGGCAAAGCCAGGGCCGTGCAGCTCTACCAGGGATCAGGGAAGGCTGTGGGGTCCCAGCACCACCAGTAACAGGGCCCAGAAGAGCTGGGATCAGTGCAGAGACACGGAGAGCAGGTGCCTGATGGGCCAAAGGAAGGGGAAGGAAGCACACCGGTCCCCATGCCATCCCTCCCCACGTGCGTGGAGCAGAACTCGGGAGGGAGGGGACACGCCTGCCCCGTCTTCCAGCCTGGCCACCAGCCCCCGAGTCCCCCTCAGGCAACAGCTCCCAGGAGCATCTTTACTGGGAGCAGGGTCCCTGGACGACCCAGGCAATTCTCTCAGCTGCACACACTGCACCCTCTGAGTCCAAACGTGCATGTTCCTAAGTGCCCCGGACGCACCCTGAGCCGCCCCCTTGCCTCCCAGGGAAGCTGCTCACACAAATCCGGGAGCTCTCTGATCAGTCTCCTGGTGCCCAGGTAGACAGGGAGGGAGGGAGGGAGAAAGAACTACACAGGGACTGACCTCACCAAGCCCACGGGAAACCAGGTGCAACAGCACACACCGCAACACCCTCAGGTGTTCTTAGACCAAAATCAGAGAAATGTCACCCAGGACCACGTCCCTGCTCTCAGCCACCACGAGGCTCACAGCCTTTCCTCCGATGCTTTTGCTCTCTTTCCCACGGCCTTCCCACCCTTTCTAAAAATATGTATTTTGGTAAACACCTGGGCCAAAGGTTTGCCATGATTTATTAACAGCCAAAAGCTGATGAGCTAGATTGAAAACTATATCCAACTTTAACTAAGAACAAAAAACTACTCACGAGTGAGGCGTGAAAACCCAACAGGGTCGTGGGTGACCAGTGATAACCAGGCACTTACTAGCACGGCACCAAGCACAGTCTGCATGTAAGTTTGAACGTGCGCCACATGGATTATAAGGTGGTTATGTCTTTGCCCTTGGTCCCTGCGTCTCCATCTCGCTAAAGAAGGAACTAACTGGTTCCCTACCGTCTTTCTTCCTCACCGAACTGCCCGCCTGGAGCCTCCCACGTTTGAAGAGCTCATTAAATACCGGACAACTGGAGGAATAAAACACATTTTCTGGATATTTGGATTTTAGGGGTAAGCAAACAGCTTCTGTTATTAACACTCTAACACAGATGTTGGAAACCGGAAACTGGATCTAATATGTACATATGGTAACCAGACACTCACTGGAAAAGGTATGCGGAAAAGGGAGGAAGACAGAAACAGCCTATGAGACTAGCCATGGAAGTAGCTGATACTAACAGCCTGACGTGTGTATCCTTTTGCTCTCAGTTTTGTGAGCACTTTACTTAGCAGGTACGCTTCTCACAGATTTGGGTGGCCACAATAGCAGCCACAACCTCAAGGGAAGGGGCCTCGGCAACATTGCCACGTGCAGGTCCATTTCCAGGGATGATGTTGCCTTCACCTTTGCTGCGTTCCCACATGCAAGCCACGCCGAGCCGCCTGAGGAATCTGAGCCGGCGTGGACTGACCTCAGAAATGCCGCTTCAGACAGTCCGCCATCCACCTCCATGCGGCGGGGCCCCCGGCTTTGGGGAGGATGAGGCCTGCGCACAGACTGAGCATCACATGGAATGTGTTGCATCTGCCCTCAAAACCAGGTTTGTTGGAAACAACACATGCACCAATTTGAATATTCTTAGTTTTCAACCACTTGGAGTCCACGGGTGAGCCTCTCCACCAGGGTGTCTCCGCTCCACGCACTGTCTGCAGACCGTGCTCACGACAGGCATGGTCTGCCTGAATTGTGACTTGGGCTCCTGAGCCCCCTGTCCCCTCTGACCACAGAGGGTGGATCGTTTTTCCACCAGACCCTAGACCCAGACCCTGACCTAGACCCTGCCCCAGAAAGGGGCAGATTCCTTTCTGTCCCCGGGGAACCCGCGTCCGGCCGCCTCCGCCCCTGCAGGAGCCAGCTGGTGAGGGTCCACGGCCATGTCTATGCTCGGGGCCCCCGCCCCCCAACTCTGCCCCCCATAACTGCTCGGGGAAAGAGGACAGAGGAGGCCGGAGACAGAACCGGGAGCACAGACGTGGCTTTCAAGCAGATGCTGGGAAAGGTGTGCATCCTTACCTGGAGCAGCAGAATGAACTGTGGGAACCTCTGTATGGGCTTCATCATCAGACTGTAGAGCGTGACGCGGTCAGGGCTGGACTCCTGGCACTGCTGTGGGGAGAAGCCCGGCTTACTCGCGCTTCAGGGTGACGGGGGGCCCCCACCTCGGTCCTCCCACCACAACACAGACGCCTCGGCAGGGGGCGGCCTGGAGCCCATGCCCGTCTTCGCTCAACACAGACAGTGCATGCAGATTTGCTACAAAATCCTCCCCACACCTGGATCACACCACACACGTGCTTACGCCTCTGAGGTCCAGAGCACATTTGCATTCAATGCTTTACAGGCCACCTCTGACCACCAGGCAGGGTTTGTCCATTTACAAACGCATTTCAACCTTCTAGGGACTGAGCTAGGTTCTGAGATTCTACAACCAGTTGAAAACTGCATTTACAAAAAAATAAAGAGGCGCTTGGGTGGCTCAGCTGTTGAAGCGTCTGCCTTCAGCTCAGGTCATGATCTCAGGGTCCTGGGATCGAGCCCCGCACCGGGCTCCCTGCTCTACAGGAAGCCTGCTTCTCCCTCTCCCTCTGCCTCTCCCCGTGCTTGTGCTCTCTCTCTCACTTACTCTCTCTCAAATAAATAAAATCTTTAAAAAAAAAGAGAAAAATACCCCAGAACCCCAAATAGGAGTTGCCAGGGCCCTTAAAAGCAGCCTGGTCCATGCACTGGGGCGTGTTCTCTGTGGCGGCCACTGCCGTCCAGGCTTGGCTCTGGGGGCAAGGGTCTTGGGGTTGGGGGGGGGTGACCTGGGCCTGTGTCCTGTGTGAGCTGCCCCAGGAGCAGCTACGGCCGAGGATGTCTGCTCTGAGGGCGGCTCTCCCACATGGCAGGGGCTGCCTAGTCCCTCGATGCACCTCTCTGAGCCGGGGAGGGACGCTCCAGCAGGCGGGACCCCTGCACACCAGGGTGGGGTCTCCAGCCAAGGGAGTGGTGTGGTCGGATGGCAGGGCGAGGGCCCAGCCCCACCACCACCAAGGCAGCTCAGCCTCCTGACAGCAGTTCCCAGGCTAGGCCAGGATGACACACGTCCTTGTCCCCAGGCCGCCTGGCAGGAGGTCACCTGACGGTGGGGGCTGCGCCCGGCCCCTCGGCTGACATCTCAGGTACCGTCAGTGTCTGCCAAGACAGTTACAACCTCCCCCAAGGCAGGGAACGTCTGAATGTGTTTCTGTCCCCTAGGAGCCATGCTGTGATATGGAAAGACCACCGAGCACCGAGACCCCCGAAGCTGAGGGCTGGTGACCAGGGAAGGGGTGGGGGAGAATTCAGCCCCAGTGTAACGGGCCAGTGAGAACGTCACCTGAGTCCACTCACTGCAGGTGGCAGGAGCTTCGAGAATTTAAGTAACCGGGACAAACTCTGGCTCAAGGTTTTATGACAGGAACTGGGGCCTCGTGCAAGTGAGGTCTGGGGTCGGTGGCTGGCCACGGTGAGGGACCGTGGGCTAAACATCCCAGGTCAACAACTCCGCGTTGTCAACGTCAGACGCACCTCACCTCTCACCACTGGCCCACGGAGGGCTCATCCTTCAGCGATCAGCTTATTGCTCTGACTCGAATGGGGCCGGAGAGCTCCACCCCAATCTGAAACGTTCTGTCTGTTGCCCCTAGTGCCGTGCTGAAGGACAGGAAGCCGAGCCAAAGGCAGCTTCCTCTGGGATCGGACCTCACCTTTCGGCCTGCCCATCCATCCACACCCTTCCAAGGATGTGCAAATAAAGGTCATTTTCAAAAAGCTCTGCCACCTCTGAAAACTCATCTTCATTTCTAGCCCTGACCCAACACGTCGGCACGATATCTTTACGACAAATAACGTGGCATGTGTAGAGGCAAAATGTGGTAAGATTCCACTATAAAGTATTTGGACATGGAACCTGTTATCAGAGGATGTGAAAACCTAGAATGAAAAAAAAAAAGTGCTTACCTTTAAAAACTCGAGAAATGCAGGCTTTGTGGCACACGTTTTCTTGAGGATTGCCACCGCTGTGCTGAAATTATTCACATACTCGCTATAGGCGTCGAGCACCATGGATTTGGAAAACTGAAACAACAGAGAACATGGAGAACTATCAACACTGCATAGAGCCCAGGGCCTCCCTCCTCCAGGACATGATAAAAGATCTGAAACCTGCCCTAAAAGTAACCTGTCAGTCACTGTGATGTTTCCACAGGACACACCTCATCATGACCCCGTGTGGTTTTTTTTCTTCCTTAAGCAAACTTGTTAGGAATTGTTTAAACAGCGGGTGGATCTCACTTCGCTCACCCCGATGCGCTTGTCGGCATCCTTGTTCAGGTCCCTGGTGGTCTGGCCTTCAGCTAAGCGGTGTCCCTGACTACAGACACCTGTCTTTAACTTCCGGCCAGTCCTCACTTTGTGGATTTCACCTCCGGAGGAGGACGCCACGTGGACCCTACAGCCTGCCTGGCGGGCCCTGAGCGTCCCCTGGAAATGCTCTGGGGGAGGAAGGAAACTGATTCCCTCCTGCTTCTCTGGCTGAGGGGCCACGCTGGTCCCTGTCCTGTTTCCCTAAACACCAAGAGGCCTCCCTCTTATATTCTTCTAAGAGCCCACAAATTCTCAAGATAAACAGGCATATCCATAAGCGGGTATCTGATGCGACCGTCACTTACAGAAAAAATGCTTTCATCTCAACTATATATTAAGTTTTTTTCCTTTTAAAAAAAATGTCACCAAGGTCAATATTTCAAGAACAGAGATGAGTAATTGTAGACAGTGAACGCATAAAACACCAGAAAATGCAATTGCAAAGTAAATATCCAGTTTCCTCTTTGTTTTCCATAAAGATCCCTGGAAGGCATCATGCAAATATTTTAGTAAGAACTCCTGTTCCTGTGTTGTTTGAGGCATCCTGTAATTTATACACTTCCTGTAATTTACATACGTCATCAAGCCCACACAATTCTATAGGGAAAAAGAAAAGGTTTTTCGTATCATTATTACAGCATTCACTTAAACAGCCACTTGAACCTTCAAGCTGGATATCCCTTTGCTCCCGTAAGCTCCCACGTCTAGACAGAACACTTACTAAGCACAATACACATGGTTCATAAATGGACCATGGATGAAAGGGCTCAGAACTGCCGGATGCACACAGGAGGCTGCTGGTTTCCAGGTCAGGAAACGTGAATGCACGCCGCTGCATCCTGTGTGGGCAGAGGCCTTGAGACGGCGTCTGCACAACAGGGCCCGGGCCACAGAATACTGGCTGGAGGGGACACGTGGGTATTTTCCGCTGCCTCCGGACAGGGACAGGGCGCCGGGCAAGACCCACCTGCCCTGGGGGTGAGTGGGACAGAGCAGCACACCGTCCACAGGGCCCCGGCTCGCCATGAAAACCATGCTCCCACTGCGCAGTGATGCACAGGAAGAGAGCTGGTGGCATTCCAGATACGCGCCTGGCGAGCCTCCGGATGGTGTCCTGACCGCGTGCAGCTGTGCTCTCACCGCGCGTGCGCTGAGCAAGGCACCGAGGCTGCTAGCCCGGACACCCGGCGTGAGGCATCCCCCTGAGCACGGAAACCGGGGCAAAGCCCAGGCGAGCTCCGCGGGGATGGGGCCCGCCAGCAATTACCGAAGCCACGAAGACATCCCCGATGGTTTCCACGGAGTCCCAGTCAGCCACGCGGCTGGCCAGCGCGATCTGGAACATGCCGTGGCACTGCAACAGCTCTTTGATTCGGTAGAACACCACCTTCAGCTTCCTCTCGCTCAGGATCTTTGGCTCCATCTCCGACAGCGGCTTCTCGTATTGCTAACGAAGACACGCAGGAAGACGGTACAGGCTCTTTAGAGGGTGCGTTGAAAACATATGGAGACATCCCCTCACGTACGTCACGGTTCACGCAAACCCCACGACTCTTCATGTCCACACACAGACCCAACACTCAGCGTGTCCTGGGACTTCTGCCACTGCGATCATGTCATGGTTCGTGTGCGCGCGTAAACCCTCAGGTGTGCAAAAGGCCTGTGAGGCCCGAGTCTCCCCCGCAACACGACGTTTCGGTACCTCCAGAATCCTCTTCAGAGCATCCACGTAGTTCTTTTCGCTGTCGACCACTGAGCCCAGGATGTATCTTCTTACGACCTGTTGGCGGTTGGAAAACACAGCGGTAAGCAAACTGCTGCAGAAAACAGAAATTTCACTTCTTGTGGATAAAGAACTTTCCTGTTCTGTTTCTTGGTCCTCAAAACAGGAGGCAAAGGAAACCTCCACAGGCCTCTAGGGTGCTTTGAACAGTGCGTTAGCTAACGTTATAGGCACAAAACCTACTTTCCCTGTTGCCACGGTCACGAAATAGGTCAAACCTCAAACTACAAACCATAAGGACAGCAGGACAAGTGACGTTACCGTAGGAACGTCAACAATTGTGAGCTGAAGTAACGGTATCTTCTGGGCCCTACGCTGCGTTACGGGATATTTCACATAGGACTAAAGCATGAAAAGAGCCATTCCAGTCTTGACTCAAAGAATGCTAGCAGCAGCATAGATCAAATGAAATTATTATTGCCAAGTTGTAGAAGGAGAAACAGCTTTGAAAGGTGGAAGAGTAGGGGTGCCTGGGTGGCTCAGTCGTTAAGCGGCTGCCTTCACCGAGGTCATGATCCCGGGGTCCTGGGATCGAGCCCCGCATCACGCTCCCTGCTCAGCGGGAAGCCTGCTTCTCCCTCTCCCACTCCCCCTGCTTGTGTTCCCTCTCTCGCTGTGTCTGTCTGTCAAATAAATAAATAAAATCTTAAAAAAAAAAAAAGAAAGAAAGGTGGAAGAATAGATTTTTTTTGGCTCGAGAGCTTTGACCAAGCGAAGACACGCTCAGGAGGTGGGGGCGGGGGGGGCAGCTTGTGGATTAAGGCCAGCGAGCGGCTCCCGCCTCAAACACACAGGTCACTCAAGCATGGAGACGGGGCTCTGGGCGCGCGGCTCCTGTTAAAGGCCAGTGATGATGCTGGGCACTTCCATCAAGCCTAGACATATTCTGGCAAGTTATTTTTGCCAATAAATGGAAAATGAGCACAAAATTACAGTAAGACTGCCTCTAGACCACACACACCCCAGTCCCCCGCCCCCCCCCACCAGGCCTTTGAGGAGGAGGGGGGGCTCACGACAGGAACCACAACTCCACCCAGCGGGTGGAGACGGCATTTTCCACAGTGCAGAACATTCCAGAGCTATGTGACTGACAAGGGAGTGACTCTCTCCACAAAAAGGACCATTCAAATTCACAAAATTAAGATAAAAACCAGTGCTTCTAGGGCAGATAAAGAGTACAGAAGGGTCTGGGGTTAAAGAGGCCCCCACGAGGCTGCCAGCCGCCTGGCCCCATTCGTGGTCAGCAGTCTGGGCGCTCACCCCTCGCTCCACGAGGAAGGCTAGACCCCACAACCCAGTCACTCCCCAAACTAGCAGAGGGCCCATCTCCGCCATCCTTTTTCCCCAATTCAGATTCCCAGAGGCTGCAAGTCTCCTCAGGCAGAAGATCTGGGGTCAAACCCAGGAAATCACAGGCATTTGTAGCAGCCCTGAGAGGACTCTGAGAGGTCAGGTCCCATGTCCTCTACACACAGCTGTCCGCCACGACGTCACAGGGTCCCACCTGCGCTTGCTAGGGGGGAGGGCCCTGCTTCCCCCGGCACCACGTCCTCAGACAAGGGGACCCAGGTCCAAGTCACACTGTGTCCCCCCAGGAATGAGCATGGAGACCCCATTAGTGGTCAGAGCCCCAGGCCGCACAGGAGTGGGGCAGGAGGGACGCAGGTGGAGAGGCCTCAAAGGAACATCAAGGGTGTTTTCGAGAACTCAAGGCCCTTTCTCCAACTGGTGGGGCTGGAGAGCGGCGGGTGAGCCACGGACCGGGACAGCCAGCACCGCGCCCCGCAGGGATCGCAGCCCACGTGCCCAGGGAGCGCCGGATGGTGCAGAGCATTTACGGGCCATCCAACTAACTGACTTAGGATTTGGGATTTTAGGTTTGGGGATCAGAGACTTGGCTCAGGCGTCGGGCCCTACTGGGCCCAGGGCAGGGCGCCACCCCCATCATCGGCCTCCTTGGAGCCGCGGCGTCCTCCCGTGGGACGTGCGCACGGACACGGAGGGATGCGTGAGCACTTAAAGACACCCCGCACACCCGTCGGCATGTCCTCCTTCATTCCCGACACGCTCACAGATCAGCCACGGCCCACAGACACGCTTCCTCGTCCTGTCAGCCCTGCTGCACGGGCCCCCCCTTCAACTCCCGTGAAACTTGAGCTTCCTAGTTTGCAGACAACAATTAACGGCCCCTGGGCATCCTCCCAACTCAGCTCTTTGTTCAGACTCTGAGCTTAGCACTGTCACCACCTTGTTCCGAGCCACGCCGCTCTCCACACGCGTCTACCTAGTGCTGTGTGTCTCCAGGACATGCGTCACGCTGACCCCATGCAGAACAACTCTCCAGGGCCCCCCAAAAGCCCCAAACTCTACTCCACGCTCTGGTCTTCAGGCTTTCTTTTCCTTTTACCCAAAGATCATCAAATGGACACCACCGCATTTTTTTTCCCTCTGCTACCTCTTTCCAGAGGCTAAGAAACTCGTTGATATCCCACTGATTTCACCAGTTGTTGGAAATCTTTTACTCTGCGTGTGAGGTGCTGCATACATGCTAGTGTCTCTAGGTAAAGTCGCCCTGCCGGTAAGAACCAGTATAAACCACGCCCACACATGTCTCACGCTTACTCGGGGGTGATACCCAAACACGCATGGGCCAGAGAGCCCACGGCCACCAAGGCCACAGAGGGGCCGCAAGCAGGGGACGGCAGGCGCTCGGCCGGGGGAACACAGCGGCACCAGGAAGCAGCCCCCCATCCTACCTGCTGCTGAGATAGACCTTCAGGCATCGGGGTGAGGACAGCTTCTGGATGTTTGCAGTCAACATCAATAAATAAATTCTGCTCCTCTTCAAGACAGGGTCTGTGATCTTAAAGAAAAGTCAGAATGCACTAGTTTGACCTTGAAATGATATACTCATAATATTACAGCGTGGGGAAAAAAAAAAATCAACACTTCGGGCAGACACTTTGATTTTCCGCGCTTACGTTCCACCGGGCCATGATTAAATTGAAATTTTAACAAGAAAATATCCTTTCCACCAGAGGAACACAGTGTCCATCGATATCTGAAGTTTTCAATACTTGGACATTTAATTTCAAAAGGCAGAGGTGTCCTCTCAATACCTGGTTGGTAAGTCAGAACTAAATACTTCAATTTCTTAATCTATAAAATACCGCATTCAGAAACAAAGAAGGGCAGCTAAGAACCCTCACTCAGTAATTGACGAACGCTAAGTGGAGACTCAGTGTATTTCTCAACTTTCTGTCTGCCTTGCTCACTGAGAAAGCAGAGCTACCATCAGACCAAAACTCAACTTATCCTTAAAAAGTTGGCTGTAGCTAAATAATCCACAGAATGGCTGGAAAACAGAAGAGCAAAGGGGTTCTTAGGTAACAGGAGCCCAGAGATGATCAAATTCCAATCTCCAAAAGCCTGACTGCACAGAAATATTTGTGAGGAGCTTGTAAGAACCTCCCGGTGTCTACACACCCATGAGAGCGGCCCAAATCCGGAGCGCCAACCACACCACGTGCTGCGAGAGCGTGGAGCATCGGGGGCCCCCACGCACGGATGGCGGGGTGCAGAGTGGCGCAGACGTTTTGGAGGACAGTTTGGTGCTTTCTTACAAAAGTAAACACACTCTTACCCTACAATCCAGCAATGACACTCCTTCGTATTTACCCAGAGGAGTTGAAAACTTATGTCCACATACAACCTGCAATGGATGTTTACAGCAGTTGATTCATCATTGCCAAAACCTGAAGCCACCAAGATGCCCTGCAGCAGGTGATGGACACATAAGCTGCAGTCCATCCAGACGTGGGATGGTGTTCAGCGCTACAAAGAAACAAGCCTTCAAGCCATGAACAGACGTGGGGGAGGGAGCCTTAAGGACATGTGACTAAGCGAAGGAAGCCGGTCTGAGAAGTCCACACACGGTCGGACTCCAACTCTGACAATCTGGGAAAGCAAAACCACAGTGACAAGATCAGAGGCTACCAGGGGTTGTGGCGAAGGGAGGAACAAGCAGGTGGAGCACAGGGGACTTTTAGGGCCGTGAAGCTACTCTGTGTGGTACTGTAACGGTGGGTACCTGTCACTGGACTTGTGTCCAAACCCACAGAATGCACCACACTGAGAAGGAAACCATGTAAATGTACACTGCGGACTCTGGATGATGATGTGTCCGTGTGGGATCATCAGTGGCGACAAATGCACCAAGATGGTGGGGATGCTAGGGTTGGGGAGGCAGTGCATGGCAGGGGGATATATGGAAAATCTCTGCACCTTCTGCTCAGTTTTGCTGTGAATCTAAAATTGATCTTAAATAACAAAGTCTTAAAAAGAGATAGAACAGAACCTTCTGGTATCCAAGGTCCCCCCTCCCGGGTTTCACAGATCAGTCCCCTGGCTCCTGAGCCTGGATACATGGGATTTGTTAAATGCTCCTTCATTCACGAGTACATCCAAGTTTAAGAACCACTAATTCAGTCCCATCTTCCCATTTTAGAGCTTGGGAAACTAAGGTCGTTGGGCTCAGGGAGGCACTTGACCAACTGCCGCACCCCTCTGGGGGTCCCCGTAGACCTCCTCCCTGCCCAGCTTGGGGCTTCCTGCCCATCCTGTGTGCTGGGTGCTGACCAGATTCCTGTTCAGGGTCTGGGGTGGGGCCCCAAATCCCAGCCTGGGCACCTGTCAGACCTGCCCGGACCCCGCCATGAAGCAGTTTGTCCTGGGGGTGCCCGGCACGCTGCCAGTAACCCGTCAGGGCACACACTGTATCAGAACCCCGCACCCCAGCCGTCTCCTTCCCACGTAACCCACTGGGGCTCCTGACAGCCTCTTGTGCATCTTGTTTCAAGATGCTGAAGATTTCACTAGGACTAGAATTTATACAAGACTCTAGTTCGTTTTAGCACCCAATACACACCGTCCTCTGAGACCGCTCCTTATGGAAGCGTGGTTTCACGGTGCTTTCCAGGCACGGCTATCGGCAAATGCTACGTGTGCACCAGCTCGTCTCTCAGAACACTTGTGCAAAGAACAAAGTCGAGTTTTTAAAGGAATCTGTCAGGGTCCCGGCGCCCACTCCAGGAAAAGTATGCTCCCAGCCACCATGTAGGAAGCCAGCTGTCTTGTAATAATGCACCCATGTGAAGACATCTTCCCAGACGTCAGATAACCCTCGGTCCACAGCTTGTCCACATGGAACACTCCAGACACAACCTCTCTCTCTGACGTAGATTCATCATTGAATCCCTGTGCCGAGAGCCTCAGGAAACCTGAAACTTCTGGAATCATCCCAGATCTTTCCTCACCAACAAAAGGGTTCCTAAAATCCCTGCTTAGAACAAGCCCTCTTAGCCTGTGTCTTTCTGGGAAATACACACACACAAGAGAACCTATACTCTGTAAACAGATGATCCATTATTATGCCTTATCAAGAATAAACTTGCTGGGGTGCCTGGGTGGCTCAGTCGGTTAAGCATCAGATCATGAACCCAGGGTCCTGGGATCAAGTCCCATGTCTGGGCCCCTGATCGGCGGAGAGCCTGCTTCTCCCTCTCTCTCTGTCCCCACCCCCCTTTCTCTTACAAATGAATAAATAAAGCCTTAAAAAAATAGAAAAAGAATAAAGTTGCTGAGAATCCAAACTGACTGAGGTCGGATACCCAAGGGGATTTTGGGAGAGAGAGCAGAGAGTGAAGCCCCCAGGGCAGGGGTTCACAAAGGGCCAGTGTGCTGAGAGACCACAGAAAGAGAAGTGAAGGCTACCACCCATGAGAATTCACTCAACTTTCTGCTGCCCGTTGTGTGTGTGCGTGTCCATCCCTGAGAGCTACGGCACAGGTCCGAGCATATGCCCTCAGCTGAGAAAGCATGCCCTCCACCCCCCGGGAGGGGAGACCCAGGCGGCCCAGCTACGTCGCACCCCAGCGACGGGCACGGTGCTGAGGGGGGTGCTCGTGACGAGCCCGCAGCTGCGCTCCGCGCCACCAACATGCTGTGTGACGGACGGGGCTGCGAGCCGTGCCACAAACCTGGAGCCATGAAGGACCTGGTGCGAATGAGAGAACGGCCTCTCTTCACGGCGGCCTTTGTCCTCTCGAGCCCGTCCTTCGTGCCCTCCTTGGCGGCTTTCATGAGCTTCTGCATCTGTGAGAAGAGCGGGAAACATGAGAAGTGACAGTCGGTAAAAATTCACTTGCTGCTTTTATTTTAAAAGAATACTGTCAAGTAGCTTGATCTGAAAACGTGCCCTCAAGTTGGCTTTGTGGTCGGGGGGGGGGGCTCGCTTGTTGTGCGTGCGTGCGTGTGTGCGGTCTGGGCCATGTTTGCGTGTTTCACGAAAAAGAAAGAAGGAAGGAAAGAAAGAAAAGCGCACTTGAACAGCCAGCCCCTCCTCGACCTGGGGGATGGGGGGAGGGTCTCCGGCTGCGCGTGAGGTCAGTCTCCGTCGCTCCTGGGACGACTCACACACACGGCGCTCCGCAGACCTCAGAGGCAGGGAATCGAGAGTACACACGGTCACGCGGCGGGCCCGGGCCACGGGGCGCACGCAGGACACGGCACGACAGCCCCCAGCTGCCTTCCTGAGCTCCCCGGGGGGCAGGTCCACAGCTTACAGGGGCGCCCACAGGCTGCTCGGGCGCCGCTGCGGGCGGTGGGGAGCCAGAACTCCACTTCCCACCGGACCGCCATGTCGGGGTTCTGGTTCCCTGAACCCAGAGCCCGAGGACACACACGCACACACCAGCCGTTGGGGCTCAGGCCTGCAACGACCCGCTTTGGCTTCTTACCTCCCTTATTCTCGAAAACTCTAAGGTCTGAGCTACTGGCTATCAGGCTCCAAGTGATTCTTTTATAAAGAGAAACCCCAGATGGCCTCCTCCAGACAAACCAGCATCCGGTCCCAGGGACCCCACACTGCCTGCCGCCCTGGTCCTCCTGCCGACTCCGTCCTGACAGCGCACAGATTTCAACCCTGCCAGTGTGTGTCGGGGCCGGATCATCAGGGCCCGGGTGCCCCCCCGGGGTGCACGCCTGTGTCACACATGCACCGCAGCCCTGGCTGTCCCTGCGCGTCCTCTAGCCCCCCAAGCCTCCACCCAGCTGTACCCAAACCACGTCCACGCTCGCTAGCCAGGACCCTGCTCCAACATCCGTGGGGCACGGCCACCGCAGCTCCTGAGTCCTGTGTCCCCTCCTCCCCATCCTGGGGACATGCCCCTCACCACATGTGCCATCTCCCCTGCCGGCCTCTGCTGGGGCCTCCACCCTGCACCCCCTCCCCCCACTGCTCGCCTGCTGCAAGGCACCTCTGCGTCGTCTCCTGACCCACCAGCCTTCCCAGACCTCATCTGCCTTAGCCCACGCTGGACCGCTAAGCCTCGATCTTCAGCCAGACCCTGACCAGGGTCTCTCAGATGAGCATCAGAGAATTGCAAACAGACAACCAAGGGGGGCCAGCCTGCAAAGCGCCTGGTCCTCGAGCAGCGATGAAGACGCAGGTGCTAGGGAGCTGCGGTGCCTGTCCCAGATCACACAGCAGCCAGGAGACAGAGCCAGGGCTCCCGACCCATGCTAGCGTCTGCTTCTTACTGGATGAGGGGGTCTGCTTGGCCTGGCCCTAATTACTTACCGCGTCTCACTGCTCCCGGCTTCCCAGCGCGTGCTGCTCTCCCTGCCACACACCTGCTTCCCAATTCCTCCACCAAGCTGGCCTCCTTCACGCCTCCCCCGTGACCAATGACTGCGCTCACGGCTCTCTGCAAAATCGCGCCAGGCCCCAGACACTCCCGTGTGACCTGCTGCCTTAGATTCGTGCATGGGAACCAGCCAGAGGCTGGGCTGGAGGAAGTGACGTGACTCCCAGAGTTTTGCTCCTGCTGTGGGAAGCCCAGGGCACAAGAACACCCCGGAATTAAGCAGGTGACTCTAACGGAAGGGAACATCTATTTTCAGTTAGACACTATTTAACACATACAAACAAATCACAAAACGTCGGAAGGACAAGAGACCTAATGGACGTGAACGTTACTTGACAGTGCCCTTTTAAAACACCTCTACGAGGACTGACCGCCACCACGTTCAAATCTAGCGGTTCTCGAACTTGCCGGTCTCAGGAGCCCTCTATCCTCGTAGAAGTACGAAGGGCCCTACGAGCTCTGTTCATCTGGCTTTCACTGGTCTACGTTTACTGGATGAAGGGTTAAAATTGAGAAAAATATCAAACTTCTCTGAGCATTCATTTAGAAATAATAATAAACCTGTTCTGTGGTATCCAAGTAGCGCATTCATGAAACACCACTGTATCTCCCAAACAACAAGATAGGTGGTGCGGTTGCACACGTCTGGAAATCTCTCCGGCATCTCAAAGATGGCGGATCCTGCAGGCCGTGGCTGCGGTCCCACACAGCGGGGCCTCAGGGACACTCCCGTCCGCGTGTGAGCGCACGAGGGGGACAGAGGGTAATTAGCGTCTCAGATCTAATGTGAGCGCACTACACGGGCCTTGGGGACACCTGGGAGCCCAGGACCACACTTTGAGAACCACTGTTGGGTTAAAAAGGGCCAACGTGGTTGCCATGGTGCTTCTTTTAAAAGCATGGCCTGTCTCTGAATAAGCACGTTCAACGCAGCTGGTCAAAAAATGAACCACACTACCTTGAGTTCATGTCTCTGCTTTAGCTGCTGCATCTCTGTGGCTCCCACCGTGTTTGCCATCAAAGCTCTCATCTTTTTCTCATAGTGCTCCTTGAAACGGGTTAGGTCATGGGAAAGCTACAGCATAAAGAGACACAATCTTTTCACAAGGACGCTCCTTCCGGTACTTTGAGACAGTCTTACGTTGAGAGGACATGGCGGTGGTGGCATCTGGGGGACCCCACGCCCCACGGGGAGCCCCTAGTTCTGGCCCACCAAGTCCTGAGACATGAAAATGAGGAAGTCAAACCCATGGGGCGAGGAGGCAACAGTGGACAAGCCAGACTGGAGACTTTTCTACGCCAGCCAAAAGCGACTATGGGAACCAAAGGAGCTGGGACCTCATTCCCCTGCATTGTGATGACATTAAGATGATCAAAAATGTAAGTAAACAAGGTATAAAATTATTCTTTTGTGTCAGCACCAAGGCAGACGATACCCGAGTTCAGGACTGCCCCTACATACAGGGCGTCATGATTTGGGAATGGACAGCACACATTTTTAAGCCTCCAAACTGACATTAACGTTGGTTGTCTCAGTGAATGGTGAAGGGGAGAATCCTGCAAAACACTGTCCACGTGATCACACAATCTCAGATACGGAAACCAAGGCCTCAAGGCTTCTCCAGCAAATGCTTCCCACGTCAACTCAGGAAAAGACACTTTAAGTAAATTTTCATTAAAAATTTGGGTTCTTTTGAGTTGACTAGTCAACAACTTAAGAGTGTTCATTCAGTAGGCCGTTTATAAATCCTGACTTAAACGAGAATGCCCGGTCCTTCCCACGGCCCTGTCTTGCCGGCCACGCTCCCAGCTGCCCCAGGGTGCGGCCGAGCTGGGGCAAGGGAGGGAGGAGGGTGCCCAGGTGATTATTCCGCACTCGTGAGCGACCCTGTGGGCCGTTCACCCGCTGGCAAGCGGCCTCTCACTCGGCATTTTGGGGAGCCTGCCCGGGAATGGAGTTCCATTCAGAGGCCGAGGAATACAGTCTTTCAGTAAGTGTGGGAGTGGCTGGTCCGTGGGCACCTGACACCCGGCCTGCCAACAGAAGGAAACTGAAGAGTGTTTTAACCATTCTTCCGAGGCCCCCGCACACGGCTCTCCAATCTCAACGTAAGCCCAGCGTGGCAGGTGCATGGAGTCAATCTGACTACGGCTTCCCTTGCCAGTTAGTCTCAGCTGAGCTGACTGCCCGCTAGGGGTCCAAGGAAAGGCTGTAATGATGTGAGGTGCTGGGGTGACCTGCACAAAGGGGTAGGGTCTTCTGGGCTTCGTGAAGCCAGTTCCCAGAGTATGAGAACACTAGGTGACCCGTAACCACTTGCAAGCTGGACACACATGGGAGCCAGAGCCAAAACCCCACCAGTCTGCTCCCTGGGTGCAGGTGGGGCTGGTGATTTGCCCACACCGTCACACGGGCCAGTCTCCCTGTGCCTGTGGCCTGATGCTCAGCCTCACACAGAAAGCCCGTGAAGCCTACAGACACGTCGGTGAGCGTGAGCACAGATGACCCCTTTCACAAACAGCCAGAGCCCAGCAACCGGGAGCAAACAGCACAGCCATGCACCATGGAAAACCACACATCTCAGTAAGAGGATCCGCTCAACGAAAGCGCTCCCAGGTCCCACAGTCGACCACCACCCTGTTCTAGAATCCACACTCCTGATCTCTGAGGCTCCTCTTCAGACCTTGACCTCAGGGTTCACGCACAGGTGTGCACACACACACTCCACTCAGGACGGATAACTGGGCAGCTCAGGGGCTCTGTCCTTCAACACCATCTGCGTCTCACAGAGACCCGACCTGTCCACTCGGGGTGCATGGAAGTCGTGCCTATCTGTGCACAAACACAAATAACGCAGAGAACAGTCACTGAGGGCCTTCTGAGTGTGTCTGTAAAAACTGAATTTCCCATCCTGCTATGATTATACACACAAGGTCAAATCAGGAACCCCTTCCCTACTGCTTACACCTTCCTCACATTATGTGCCAACATCATCAAGAACACTTAAATATTACGGGGTGCAAATTTTAGAGGCCTGTTCACGTGCTACCGGGAGATATGCTGTCTCCCACGCAGACTGAACACATACTTGCTTCTTGTGGCTACTGCGCAGGAAGGACCTGGGGACCCCGTTCTTGCACTCCGAGTCACTCTGTTCCTCGTAGCTTTCGAATTCACTGGAGCTCCAGCCGTATTCCAAAGAGCTGTTCCCACCTTCCTCTCCATTCTCAACGTCATCGTAAATCATCTCATCTGAGGGCAAGTGAAATAAAAAATGCAGAATTTGCAAGTTATGGTCTTGTGCATGCTTCTTGTTTCACCATATCATGGAGAGCCGGGGGCTGGAAGCATATCAGACCTCGGGGGGCAGGCTCCCCGATAAAGGTGGTGGGCGCCACCTCCAGGATGGGGGCAGCGATGTGCAGGGCTGGACAGAGCACCGGTGAACCCCCAGCCCCAGGTGCATCCTGAGGGCCACTGGCCTATAAGAATCTACCAGAATTATACCAAATACCTTGTTGGCTACACGAAGATAAATGTAGGGAATATAAACAGATTAGATAAGTAGATGATAGATACATAGATGAGAGAGACATTCAAATATGACACATGGGAAGCTCACGGGAAACAACTAAATTTTGCCTTTGTGCTAACAATGGTCTAATAAATCTCATAACCTATTACTGCTTTTAAAATGTTTTAATCACATCAGTCATTTCAGAATTAGTAAAGAGCAGAGGTCTATGTCACCAAATACAAGGACAAGGGATCTTTAGTTTAAAACTTCCAAAGGCTTTAATTCCCATCTTTTACTTCATAATCTGTATTCTGCAAAAGTGAGTTCACTGAGCCGAGCTGCCTTATGGGCACTCCCACGGCAAGGAGAAAGTCTTGACATTCATCGCCGATTAATTAATCTGCTTCCTTTCTAATAGATGCCAAGGCCACAGATTCACAAAAAGTAATCCTGTGATACACCTTGACTGATACAAAAAATATGCAGTGGAACAAAAAAATACAGATGGGTTTCCCATTTTCAGTGCCATGCTGCCGGTGACAGGACTTTCTGAGAATGAAATGTCATTCTACAAACTTCCAGGATATCAGTGTCTCTCTGATTTCTAGAACTTGTTAAACAAATGAGCATCAAATTTCAGGTGAACTTTCTCAAGTATAAATGACTTAAGAGTAATTTCTGCTTAAATTATCACCGAAGGACAGTACAAAGTTAGATAAAAGACATTGTTTCCATGCCTGAAAATATATTCACATTTCTTGATTAAATTTATTCCATATGCAACCTCCACTGTCCTCTGTAATAAAACTTGGCCCTAAAAATCTTCAGTAATTAAACCTTGATGAATAGATTCTTCAGGGCCAAGAGCTAGCTTTGTATATATAATACTTAAAGGCAAACATTTGCTTTCACTGGAAATGAAAAGTAGATAGGAATTTGTCACTTTGAAAATTCCTGTAATACTCCAGATTACCCTGGCCTTGCGTGACATCTCCACTGGATTCCGATATTTTCTAGAACATAAGACAGAAATCCAAATTTCTGGTTAAAAGCACTAAGGAGTAAATGTCATCTGGGTAAAACAAAGCCATATTTGAAAATGAGTTCACTTTCCAGGAGCTGCAGTGGTGTGGTTCAGCTGTGCCTGAAGGACAACCACCACGACCACGAACTGGGCAACTGGGGCAACTGGGGCAACTGGGGCAACAGGGCAGGTGGATTCTGGGGATGCAGCCAGACTCCGGCTTAGCCGCCATGCAAGTCATGACCAAGAGCCATCCTGACCACAGCAGCTGGCCATGAGTGCAAGGACCTGGTGACCCTGCGTGGACCAGTCAGCAACGGAGGCACCCACACGTGCCGGTATGTGCCTGTGCCCTATTCCCCCAGCGCGGTGCGTGAATCCTGAAGCTGCCAGATTAGTACATCCTCCCCCCTTCCGCAACTGCTCTGGACGTCGGGCTACTCTGCGTGCAGCAAACAGTCCACACACATCGCACGGCAGGTGGTGCTCACACCTGCAGCAACATTTCCGGAGTGCGGGAGCCAGCGGCAGGTGCACCAGCTGGTCCCAGCTCTGGGGAGACAGCTGAGGGCCCCTGCTCTAGGGTCGGCTGGACAGCTTGTCCACCTCGGGGGCGTCAGAACCGTCACACCCCAGGCACAGTGGACCACCTGTAACTTAGGGACGTTACCACTCAGTGGTCAGGACGTGTGACGGTAATGGTGCTCTATGTTCTGGAAAAGGTAGTGCTATTCGGGCCTCCCCTGCATGCTCAAACTTTCAAGGGCTCTACAGCATCGTGTTAACTACAGAGGATTGATGGTTTGTGAATTATGAGGCCCTCCTCAGTTCCTAGATGCACGGAGTGAGGCTTCCTGATGCTGGAAAGTAAACACAGCCACAGGGCACGTGTTTCTCCCACAGGCCGGTGAAGGGAGAGCTGGTCTACCTGGCTGAGTTTTCTGGGCAGCAACCTTGCTACCTGCCCTCGGCCAGGACTGTGACGAGGAAGGCCCACCAGCCCGTGAGTGTGCTTCATGCCACAAACCGTCTCCTCTCAACTAGTTAAAATGGTCAATTGTATGCAGTGTGCACTTTACCACAATTAGAAAATATACAGATGGTCACCATCATATGTCACGAGAAAGTCTTCAGTGTCCTCCCAGTACTGTGACGGAAATTCACCCTAAATGGCCATATTTTGCACAAAGCACATAGGCCTCCGCGCTCCCTCGGACATGTCTGTGTCTCCACAGTTCACCAGACAGCCGATGTCCTAGACAGCATGAATTCTACAATTACACCCACAAGGAACCTCAAAGATGTAGTGCCATCTACTTCACTGAATGTATTGATTTAATTACCAAATACTTTACATGCACCAAAAAGCACCAAGTAGCAGGCATGTGTGTAGACCCTACGTAAGCCCTGCGTCAGCGCCTGCTCCTACAAAGGCAGCAGGTACAAAGCGACATGCACACAGCCAGAGGCCTGTCCCCTCCCCCAGGTCAGCAAGAATCAGTCCTGGCTTGCGGGTGTCCGCTTACCTCTGAGGTGTGCATCTATCTAAAGGCATATGCACCCTAGCTCTGTGTGTCTTGTTTTTTGCTCATTGCTTTTGAGTGTGTGTGGCTGAAAGTGTGTGTGTGCATTTATACATACACACATCATTTATTCATTTTTAACTGCAGTATAATGCTCCGTTGTATAAATTCACTGCCATATGTGGATCCTTTCCCCGAGTGTGGAGCCACTACGTTTCCCCACATCTTTTGCTCTTTACAAATAGTGCTGCAGAGGGGCATCCCTGCACACGTCTCCCTGAAGCAGGCATGAATTTCTCCAGGAAACACACCTGCCAGGAGATCACTGGTTTGTATTACCATCTGCACTTCAGCTAGGTCTTTAACTGTTTCTTCAAAATGACTGTGCCACCGAGGCGTTTAACAAGCAAAGAGCAAAGGGCCAGAGGGGACCAGGACCCCTTGTGATCCTAACAAGGGAGGGTCCTGGCTGATGTGTGAGTGAAAGCATACACACCATACACATCAGCACCCTGCAGGGCACTGTCCTCACAGGGACACCGCTGGCTCTACCCAGGACGGCTGTCACCTTTGGTAGGGAGACTACTGGAAGAACTTTTGTTGTTGTTTTGGTGTTGGAGGCCTCAGATCACCCCGTCTGGGCTGGGAAGGGCCTACCTGGTAGCATAAATTACCCAAAAATAAATTTCAAGCTTGTTTTTTTACAGAAACCAGTCTTTAATTCCCACTTTATTTGCAGCATGCATGCATTTAAATAAATACCTGGAAGCACATTCCTTCATAAGTACTTCGGTTTTATTTATGAAGGGATGTAAATGTTAAGTGTTTGTCTCCCTCAGTATAGGAATCTTAAGGGCAGGGACAGCTCTGTTAGCTGAACCTAGATCAGTGCTCCGTATGTAACAGCGTCCAAACGCATTGTGGAATAAATAAATTACCAAGTGCTTTTAACTCTATAATTTAGTACACTGGATGTAGATTATGAGAACACGTCCTTTATTAGGCTGAGGACATTTCCTTCTATTATGAGGGTTTAACACTGAATGGCCATTGAATCTTATCAAGTGCATTTTAAGTATCTATTGAGATGAGTGTAAGGTTTATGTCCTTTAGTCTGTTCCTGGGGAAAGGATGGTAAAAGAACCTGCTAATATTAAGGGATCCATAAACTCCTGAGGAAAATCCAAAGGGTTAAGGTTGGCTTTTGCTTGTTTGTTGGGATACTACTGGATTTTATTTCTTTACATTTTCATTACGATGTTCAGCATCACACCTTTGGGGAAGGGGGTTATAAGCTTATCCTAAGACCCTAAAGTGAGTTACCTGCTCCTGCCTTGCACTATCCACTGGGACTGTGTGTAGAGCAGGGGGACTGCCTGTCCACTGATGGTTTAGCCACTCTGAGCTGAGGACCCTGGTCTTAGAGGGCGGTCTGGCACATTAGTTAAGCAATTAATTCTAAATCGGGAATCATTATGCATCAATGTTTTCTACCTCAGATGCAGTCCGAGTGCTTCAGCTGATTGGTATCGAGTTGTTTCTAGAATCCCTTCATAGTGTTTATGGGTTTCTACTGCAGTTTCTTGCTCCCGATCCATTTTTCCTTCCCTCCTTCCTTCTGTTGTCTCCCAATAATATCCTTTCTTCCCAACACTACCAGAGGCTTCTCTATTTTCATATTATTTTTAGAGAACTGCTCTTTGGTTCTGTTGATACTTTCCATTGTTTCTTTGTTTTGTTTACCACTTTTACTGTTACCATTTTTATTTCCTTCTATTTTCTCAGTTTACTCCGCTATTCATTAATATAACTGAGTTGGATGTTGGCTCATTATTTTTCCATCTTCTTTTATTAACAAATGCCACTGTGTCTATAATTATTGTAAATCTATCCCATAAGAATTTATGTAATGTTTTCATTATTATTCAAGTCAAAATATTCCTAATTTCCATTCTCCTTTCAGCCTTGTCTAAGAGCTAGGTATTAGTATTATTTTTTAATACTCAAATGTTACTTTTTATTGATTTTTTTTAAATCAAGGGAATGAGGCCTGAATACTAATTCTCTGGCATTTGTTAATATTTGCTTTGAGAAATGCTATATAATTTTTATAAATATTCCATATGTTTGAAAAGAAGTACATTCTGAAACTATTAGCTTCAGGGTTCTATATATGGTCTTTAGGTTGATTGTATACTGTGTTCTTCTGCAGTTTACTAATTTTACATCCAGAATCTATGACCGTGGAAGGAGCTTTCTTAAAAACTCCCACTCCTTTGCAAATGACACTACAGATAAAGGGCTAGTATCCAAGATCTATAAAGAACTTCTCAAACTCAACACCCAAAAAACAAATAATCAAATCAAAAAATGGGCAGAAGACATGAAAAGACACTTCTCTGAAGACATACAGATGGCTAAAAGACGCATGAAAAAATGTTCATCATCATCAGCCATCAGGGAAATTCAAATCAAAACCATATTGAGATACCACCTTATACCAGTCAGAATAGCAAAAATGGACAGGGAAAGAAACAACAAATGTTGGAGAGGTTGTGGAGAAAGGGGAACCCTCTTAACATTGTTGGTGGGAATGCAAGTTGGTACAGCCACTTTGGAAAACAGTGTGGAGGTTCCTCAAAAATTTAAAAATAGAGCTACCCTATGACCCAGCAATTGCACTCCTGGGTATTTACCCCAAAGACACAGATGTAGTGAAAAGAAGGGCCATATGCACCCCAACGTTCACAGCAGCAATGTCCACAATAGCCAAACTGTGGAAAGAGCCAAGATGCCCTTCAACAGATGAATGGGTAAAGAAGATGTGGTCCATATGAACAGTGGAATCTTACTCAGCCGTCAGAAAGGATGAATACGCAACTTTTACATCAACATGGATGGGACTGGAGGAGATTATGCTACGGGAAATAAGTCAAGCAGAGAAAGTCAATTATCATATGGTTTCATTTATTTGTGGAACATAAGGAATAGCATGGAGGACACTAGGAGAAGGAAGGGAAAAATGAAGGGGGGGGTATCAGAGGGGGAGACGAACCATGAGAGGCTATGGACTCCAGGAAATAAACTGAGGGTTTTAGAGGGGAGGGGGGTGGGGGGATGGGTTAGCCTGGTGATGGGTATTAAAGAGGCACATATTGCATGGAGCACTGGGTGTTATATGCAAACAATGGATCGTGGATCACCACATCAAAAACTAATGATGTATTATATGGTGACTAACATAACATAATAAAATTAAAAAAAAAAAAACCTCCCACTCCAATTATGTACTTAACTATTGCTGATTATATCTCAGTCATATTTTGCTCTATATATTTGGAGACTGTCTTGTTAGGTGCACACAAGTTTAGAACTGTTAAAGTTCTCTCTTGTGAAGGACTCTATGCCTAATATTTTATAGCCTAACATTCAATATATTAGAGTAATACTGGCTATATTTTGGTTGGAATTGGCCTTATATTTCTTTTTCCATCCATTTACTTACAAATGTTTCGTATCCTTATATAGCTCTCATAAAAATATATGCCTAGCTCTGTTATTTTACCCAACCTGAGAATTTCTTTTATGGGCAATTGGACTCAGTTTATATTTACTATATAGAAATATACTTGGACTAATTTTGCCATCTTTTTTCATATTATTTGCCAAACTTTCTTATTTTACATTTTCTTGCTTCTTCCACCCAGATTGGGTTTTCCTCTACTGGGTTGGAAGTTAAATAATCTATTTCTATTCTTTTAGTGGTTGCCCATAAATGCAGAGCCAACCTATCAGAGGAAAAAACACACCATCATTATTTATATCCTTTTCCTGAAAAATGCACAGACGTTAGACATGGACGGTCAACCACCCCCCAGATGGCAGGTGCAACTGTCTAGGGCCTTAGCCCCACCCTGCAGTCACACTTGTGAAATCAAACAATACTATTAGTGCCATCTTAATCAATGCTTGCTTAGATTCATTCACAAAGTCATTATTTGCTCTCTGTTCTTTCTGCAGCCTATTAGGTTCAGTACCCTTTTCCTTGAAATGCAACGTGAAATAGATTTTAGAGTCTGAGTGGTAAATCTCCCCAATCCTTATCTGATACTGCCTTTGTCTCCCTCTTTTTAAACACTTGTGTTTTGGTATTAGTGGACTGAGTTGTGCTCAGCGGTTTCAAGTGTATGTGGTATGGAATCAGGCTTGAGCCTGCTTTGATTTTGTATTTCTATAATCTGAGAACTTACATCATTCTTTAGTTCTGGAAAAGTATTAGTACTTCCTTCTTCTATTTTCTCATTTAAATCATTTATTATATATATGCTGGTACTTACAGCTTCCACTTTTTTACCTTTCCATTCATATTTTTCACATCTTTAACTCTTTCTGCTTCTTTATATTAATCAATGCTTGTTTAGATTCATTCAAGTGCTATAATATAACCACACCCACCTATGTGCACAGACCAATATTCCACCCCGTGATATCAATGAGACACTACACAATATACAAAACACGAACATAAAACATATAAGCTGTGTATTAGGGATTGTGTGCACACTAACTAGTCATTTCTTACACCCAGCAGGAAACACTGATAAACTGAATCCTCTAAAACTCAATTACAAACAATTCAAACCTGGTTCAGAGTCTGAATTTTCTCTTGGCACGTCATCATAAATGGCTTCTTCTGGATCTGCAATATAGAGAGGGAAATGTTAAAAACCGACCAACACCAACCAAGTATAATTTACGTTGTTTTTAGGACCACAGTCTCCTATGATGCTATAATTATTCAAAAATTAGTTTGTAAGGGCTAATTCGTGATACCTTACCAAAGCATAAGCATTACTTTTGGGACAGGATGTTTTCTTGGGATTGAAGCATGACACTCTACATGAACCAGCTGTGAAATCTCTCCAACAGGGAGTTTTGTGGTTTCTAGGTCAATTTAGTCCATTATTTTGTGTTCATCTATGCATCTCCATGTGGCTCTTTGTAAGTATTTTTAAGTTTATGAAGTTAATGTGTTCTAATATGCAAAAAATACAAAGGTGGTGTACACAGTTTCCAAATAAAGGGAAAGCTCAAGTGGGGCTCTATTAAAAGGAACCTGGGAAAATAAACCCATTATTCCATGATACGCTGAACCACTGGACAGGAAAAGCAGGCTTAGGCAAAGGGTGAGAATGTTCACCTGTTAGGGTAAAATCTCTCCAAGTATGTAAAATGTGGAACATTCATGTCCTCTGAAATTGAACAAGTTTTCTTAAGAAAAAGTGAAGACCCTCCACGGGCAAGCCCCTCAGTGTATACTGTATGAGGAGGTCATGCATAAGAGCAGTGGTGAAAACAGAAATGCATTTAAGTATTTGTAAGACTTTGGGCCTCACACTGAAATCAACCACACTACAAAGTCACCGGTGACTAAGCAGCAACAAGAAAATGAGGTGATTACACTGAACTCTTCCCCTGACACTGAGCCACTGTTACATTACCGGGGGTGGGGGGGGATTCGGGATGCTCCTCATTCTCTTGCTGCTGTCAAGCCCCCACGTGACAGATGTTTGCTCCCTTGTTACCATATTAACTGCAACCACGATGAACATGTCTACTCCTGTTAGAGAGTGCAAGGGATGCTCGTCTGTGGACCCCTGAAAACCACAGCTGTGAATTGCAAGAGCCCACTTACGTGCCGATTTGTCTTTGATGTCTGCAGTACATACTGCAAATGTATTTTCACGTATTTATGATTTTTCTAATACCGTTTCCTTTTCTCTAGATTACTTTACTGTAAGAATGCAGTATATAACACACACATAAAATATGGGTTAGTTGACTGTGTATGTGATCCAGAAGGCTTCCGGTCAACAGGAGGCTATTAGTGGTTAAGTTTTTGGGGAGTCAAAAGTTATACCCAGATTTTTTACTGTGGTAGGGATCACCACCCCTAACCTGTGCATTATTCTAATTAACTGCCACTTACATAATAAAACAAGTAATGGGGGAAAGTCAGACAAATTTTACCTTGGAAATAAATTTTCTAGAGAATTGGAAGATGTTAATTTCATCCTGTAATCATCCCAATTTAGCAGCCCCCTGGCAGAATCATCTACTTATGCTAAGTTCCTTGCTTGACAACGTCATAATAAAAACCAGAATGACACATTCCAGGAGATAATTAATAATCAGGAGACAGTTAAGATGATTCTTTCTTGGAAGTCAATCACGTAAAATAATTATACAGAAATCAGTAAGCCAGTGAGTAATAAAGAGGTAATTAGAAAAGCCATCTTACTTTTCTTTAAAAATTAAAAATCAAATCTGGTTAAAAATAGCTCAGCTTTCTAAACCACACGTGGAACAGAAGATCTGTTATGCCATCTGGACAGTGGGCTGGCTTAACCAGCCACCCACCCCCTTTGCAAAATTGTAACATGAAAAAGCATCTTTGTGAGAATCCCAAGAAAAAATACCTGGTTGATGTCTCAGGGGTGACTTGCTGACTATGGGCCTGGGTCAAAGCATCAGTTCCCCAAATAGAGGACTATCATGACAAAACCCAAACACCGTATGAGGAAGAAACAATGAGGAACAAATACGTGCTAGGATGGGGTGAGCAGAGATGTTCCAAAAGGATCTAAAAGAAGGGCTACAGAGACTGCGGGGGCAGCAGTGACACAGTCAGCCCTGGTCAGTACTGCAGGTAAACGAATACGTTTCTAAAGTGTTCGATCTGAACAGGACATGAGAATAATCAGCAGAACCTGACAAAAACACACGCCACCCCCCGCCCCGGGGTGGCATCCACACAGAGCCCGGCGAGGATCCTGGGATGGCCCCACCAGGTTCCTGGTGGCGTGCGGTACCTACTCTCCATCCACGCAGTGTTGGCTGGGTCCGCGACCCACCGAGCGAGCGCACTGTCCTCCTTGTGCACCCGGTCGTCACTAGGAGAAAACAAACCACAAAATCACAACAGTGGAATGCTTCCTGTCCTGAGACCGCTGGACGTCCCCAAAGGGTGTATCTGCTTCACCGTATGCACATTTCATGTTTTCCCCAGATATTATGATGGATGTTCTGAGCTGAGCACTGTGTCTTCTGAACTGCTGCCCATGCATTTTACAGTATGACAAGCCTGCTCACATCCACAGTCTGGACCTGTGTAGAAGGACCCAAGCCTGGGATTCCCACCATACATTCGGGGCACCCTGTGAAATCAACACTTAAGAGTTAAGCCTTTGAAAAGCTAGTGATCTCTGCTCCACTCTCATCTCATAAGTGACAGGTCTGATGACCTTGCTCTGTATCTACAGGGGCAGAGGATACCCTCCCCCTGGCTCACTGCTCACCTGCCCTGGTCCTGGGATGTATACGGGATAGGTCTGGTGACCAGACTGCCTTTGTGTGGGGGTACTGGAGCTGTGCCTTCCATCAAAGTCACCCGGGGGTGTTCACTCCCCCAAATCAGTCACTGGGAGGCTGAGGGAGCTACCTGCAGACACGTGCAGGAGGCTTCTGCCCCCTCACTCAGCAGGTCCTAATCTGCACGTTCCCAATTTAACACCCCAGCTGCGGCTTCTCAACACAGAGCCCAAGTTCAAGCTTCCATTCCCTGCTATTTGATGCTTTTGAAGGCCCACTGAAAGCACAGCACAGGACCTGGCATGACAAATATAAGAAGACATGAAGTCCCTGCTCGGGAAGACCTGAACTAGCTTCCAGTTCTCACCAGACCTTCTTGAGGGTCTGTTAGGCGTCACACACGGTGCCAGTCAGAAAGTCACACCAGAGTGACCGACAGGCCTTCACCGCCTATAATCTTTAAAAATGGAAAATAAGTTTGGTGATTTTATGAAGAAATCAGAACTTGTACATTGCTGATGGGAATGTAGAATGGCGCAGCCCCCGTGGAAGACAGTTTGCTGGTCCTCAAAAAGTTAAATATAGCCTCACCACAAGATCCAGCAGTACCACTCCCAGGTTAGAGCCAAAGGGGTAGGGAGCAAGGACTCGGAGGCTGTACGCCGGCATTCCCAGCGGCCTTATTCACAAGAGCCCGAAGGTGGAGACCGCCCAAGTGCCCATCGAGAGGTCAATACGGACTCACAAAGGATTATTATTCAGGCTTGAAGAGGAAGGCAATCCTGACACATCCTACAACATGGGGGAGCCTTGCAAACATGGCGCGAAGTGAAATAAGCCAGACACAAAAGGACAACTACCGGGGTTCCAATTATATGAGTTAGCTATAGATTAGGCAAGCTCGTAGGGGTGGAACGCGGAAGAGAGATTCTCTGGGGCTGTGGGGGCGGGAACGCTAGGTTACCACAAAATAGACAGAGTTTCTGTTTGAGAAGATGACAAATTCTGAAAGTAAATAGTAGTGATGGTTATACAATACACGTAAATGCACAAGATGTCACTACACGTTATACTTAAAATGGCTAAAATGGCTAAATTTTCTGTTATATAGATTTTAACTATAAATTTTAAAAACAATTTTAAAACATGATGCAATGCACCAAAACCCACAGGGCAGTACACTTGAAATAGGCGTGGTGTGTGGATTATACCTCAATACAGCTGCCCAGTATCAACAGACAGGCACACCTACCATGCTACAACCCTTGGTAAACCTGGTCTTTAACTTCGTAAAATTCTTACCCAGCAGCAGAAGGGGTACAGGAAGTAACAGCAAGAGCACATAGCAATCAGTTTTAATGCAGGTGTGCTCACAGAGTTCTGGAAGAATGAAATGAGACATGTAGGCACGGTTCTGGAATGGAAGTAGCAGTTCGCCTAGAAGATGGGATTTTCCTGGGCATCTCAAGCAGATGACATAGCATTTTTGAAGGCAAGTGGCATGAAAGAAAGATCTACAATCAAATCAGTTTGGAGGATTCTGGATGAAAGGTGGGTTAGACACACTGAACCCCCCCCACCTGCCACCACAGGATTCTGAGACCCTCTACGATGCTAAAGCACATGGAGCGTCAGCTACACGGAGCCTGAGGAGGGCTGTGTCTTCCCTGGTCTACCTGCCTGTGCATTCAGACGGCCTGTCTTTCCACAGAACAAGATGAACACCTTGCAGAGTCCTTGTCTTCCGGAGCACCCATGAGGGTACAGAAGACAGAGCTGTCCAGGGCCTGGGAGGGGAGGCTCTTGGGCTGGGGACAGGCCTGGTCGGTCACCACCTCTCAGCACTGAGGGCGGGCAGGCCAGCACCTCGTATCACTGTGTTCCACATATCAGGGAAGGGTCATGAACTCAGAGCACGTGGGAAAAATAGAGATACCTGTTCGTTGGATCCTCAGAACTTAAAGAATTAAATTGACCGTCTTCTGTTACCTCTTGTGTTTCTGTGAGGAAAGAAAAAAATTCGCATGGTTTTAGTCTTAGGGAAAAGTATTTAGGAAGTGGATTTTTAGCCTTAAAATGGTTTTATATTTTTTTCAATGATAAGCTTACCATAAAAATGATTAGTTGATAGAGTTTTTTCAGGTTTTAGATAAGATGTATGTAAAATAGGATGACAGTAAAAACAATATCCAAAGATCCTCTAAAATAGCTGGAATTAAAATGGTGACCCAAAGAAAGCAAGCTAAAGGGACAAACCTGTTTCTCTCATTCTTAACTTTTTCATGGAAATTTACAATTGTGATTTATTGGAAAGTGTCTAAATGGCAGCGTCCAAAGATTCTCAAGGGATAAAGAGTTATGTTCATGATACCTGACAACCAACTTTTCATATACTCATGCACGCATACACACACACACACGTGTGTGTACACTCACACACGCTCACAAAGTCCGTCACATGTGTCCCGGCCGATGGCTGTTCTCCCACCTCTGGGTTTGGTTCAACGAGAGGGTGATGAGCTCAGAACAACAAGCCACGTGCTCAACCAAACACCGGTTGGTAATGGCTACACTGGGAAACTGTCCATAAAAAGCCTTTAAGAAAGAGGGGCGCCTGGGTGGCTCAGTCGTTAAGCATCTGCCTTTGGCTCAGGTCATGATCCCAGGGTCCTGGGGTCGAGCCCCGCATCGGGCTCCCTGCTCAGCGGGAAGCCTGCTTCTCCCTCTCCCACTCCCCCTGCTTGTGTTCCCTCTCTTGCTGTGTCTCTATCAAATAAATAAATAAAATCTTTAAAAAAAAAAAAAAAAGCCTTTAAGAAAGAATCCATTGTGTGCTACTGTCCACGAAAGCTGGGAGATTTCACCCACAAAAGTGGTCCCCTGATCCCGCTAAATACCAACAAATACCCTTCCGCAGTAGTGGGGAGCTCCCTGGCAGTGCAGCGGGGACCATAGAGACACGAACTCTGTGTTCTCAAGGCCACTCAACGGTAGGCATCTGCCAAGGACCACATGTCAGGTCAGGGGCAGGGCCAGCATTTGAACTCAAACCTGCCCCCTTCCAAAGACTGCTCTTCCTGCCACATCACACTGCCCTAAAGAATGATCGACAGGGCCTCCCAAAAAGACAAAGCTATTCGACAAAGTCATTGAAGAAAGGACATTAATCGGCAGCAAGCACACTTCACACCGTGAGATTTTCCCTGCGGCTGGGTCAAGGGCACCACTCCCCATCCCTGAATGCATACCACCCAGGCCTCGTCTCGACTGCCTGCCCAAAACAACACTTTCTTTCTCTGGGCTCCCCCTTTCAAGAAAGGAGATGCACCCTGATTTACTGTCTGCTCAGACACAAGACCTTTGATAAGGGGAGGTCAGGAGAAGATGAGCATACTCAGAAGTTCTCTCTCTGGCAACACCAACTGCTCATCTCTTACTGTTCTGGAAAGATCTGAAAGCTCGTGCTAAGGAGCAGAGCACCATGAGTTTCTGGCCATTGGAGGACCACTAATGAATAGAAGGGGAATCTTGGAATCTTTTTTCAAAATAGGTCTTGGGCAGTGGGGAAGAGAAGGGGTTCTGGCTGTTCCTGTATCTGAGGGTCGTGTTCCAGGTGGGGCGGCCTCCATGCTGGGGAGCCTTGCCCTGTAGAGCCAGGAGGCCCGCCATGTCCACGGGAGAACCACAAGGTGCAAAGAAGCTGGTCAGCACATGGCAGGCCACCAGCGCAGGTCCAGGCCTTGGACCCCAGCCTCACACCGTACTCCAGGCTTTCCTCATGACCTCAGCAAAGACGCCAGTGCCTGTTTGTCTTTAAAGGCTCAAGAGACAAACATAGACTCGTGTTCCTGGATCTGGGGCCTTACAGTAGTGTTTACTATGATAGGGTTTTATTAATAGGTCTAGGATGACAGCACAAAAATAGGCCAATGGTTTGTAACTATACTGAATTACTTAAAAATAATGTTGAATTATTAAAAATAACCAAATGATCTGAAAATAAGCAAATTACTTTAACATAAGAATGTGTTCCTTAATCTTTTTTTAATTGCATAATCTACTTCCTTATTTTTAGATCGTTCTTACTCTTTGGGCTACAAAATACGAACAGCATTGTTGATCGTGGTAAATTTCCAAGATTACTGCCAATTACAACAGGAAAACATATGGGGAAACATCCACCCTGAGAACCTCGTGTGGTTTTCCCAATATAAATTCAAGATTTTCTTTAAACACTTTTTGTCTCCCTTGTGATTAAGTGGGAGGGAAAGAACCCGTTTCCTGAAATCTCATGTAGTCAGAGTTACGACTCTGGGTAGGGGCCTCACGCCCCCGCTTCACCCCGTGGCGTGTCCTGGCACACACAGCACAGAGGTCAGGCAGGGAGAAAACTCAGCAGGGCCGCGTTCACAGGGTCCGTCCTGAGTAGAACTCACGGCGCTTCGCTAAGGGGGGACAGTGTCGTGCTCTCGGCAGCCCCCAGACGCCTGGGCCCGCAGCAGGGGGTTGCAGGTACCCATGGCCTCAGCCGGGAGCAGCTGCACCGGCACCTGTGTCTGGTCCACTCTGGCGACTAACTGAACACTGGGCACCACTGGTCTTACGAACAAGATGTCTATCGCCTGTGGTGTGCAGGGAGGAGGCGCACCTTCCCCGTGCAGGGACGTGGCACGGATGACGACGGGGCTGGAGTAGGCCGGCAGGAGCAGTGGCAGGTTGCAGGGCACGGCGTAGCCGCAGGGAACGGGCACCGAGTACCCGCTGGGCACAGGCAGGCTCATGCTGTCGTCCTCAGGGCCCGGGTCTGCGGGCGGGGACTGCTCTTCCTGGAAGGGCGTGATGTCGATGACGGAGTAGGGGTTGACTCTCGTTGGGACCTCATGGGTGGTGGGTTCTGCCGGGGCGTCTGTGTCTGCTCCCATCCCAACTTCACCTCCTGGAGGCAAACACGGACGCATCAACGGGGAGCCACCGCTGACCGGCCCTCCTGGGTCGGGGGTGAGGAGGAGGTGGTGAGCCCCCTGGGGCCCACGCAACCCCAGGGCACCCAGGAGATGCCCCCATCTGGGGGTTCTGAGGGAAGCCCCCGCCTCTGGGGCATCAGAGGGGCGAGGCAGCCCGTGGTGGGAGGTGGGGCACCCAGGGCCTCTGCACCGAGATGAGCAGGGTGAGAAGCTGCCTGAACTCGGGGAGCCGCTAACAACGCGGAGAGGCTGCTGTGAGGGCCGAAGACGCACCAGGTGCGCGCCCCTCCTGGTTGGGGAATCCCAGCAGACGACCCCACCTCCAAGAGCTAACGTGGACTTAACTCATCCCACAGTGTTAGTTCTGGAACTGCCTCACGGCATCCGCCGAGACTGGGGAGCCATGTTCATTAGGTATCGACGACACCCACCACCTCCAACACACACAGAGGCGAAGCAGAAATAAAGGAAAGTCAGCCAATTCAAATCTGCCATTCGGTTCACATCACAGACAGGTCAGGAACGTCCGCTCCTGGAGGCCGACGGCGCCTCCCACTCCCACCGGCTGTCAGAGCGAGGCGGCCGTGCGCCACGTGGGCTGGTGGCCGCGGGGGACCCACCTGAGCTGGAGGTGGCATCTGCACCTGCAGCCTGTCGATCTGCCTCTGGGATCTCGTCTCCGCTGTCAAAGTCGAACTGCTCCCCCTCGTCCTCCTCATTGTCATATGTCACCGCGTTGTCTGCAGGTTGAAAGAACACCAGTTAGGCCAGCAGAAGGACAGACACAAGCGCTCACTTTCAGCGACAAAGGACGTCCGGGGGGCCAGAGGAACAGGGTGAAGATGAAGGGAAAACCCGGAAACAGGGGAGCCCACGATAGAAAGTTCGACTTCAATACAGAACGGACGTGGCTCATGCCCCACGGGTCCCCAGCCCCGTGGGGTTCCATCCACGCCATCTGACCGGCAAAGCACATCGCCACCCAAAGGTAGGGGACGTCGTGACCCCTGCCCACGCCAGGCCCACCTCCGGGCCCCTCCTGCCCCGGGTCCCTGGGTGAGGATGTGTGTGGGACAGCGCGGAGGGGGCTCGGACTCACGGATATCACCAAGGGGGCCTCAGGTCGGCATGAGGAGGGGTGTCGGAGACGGGCCATCTGGGGACTTGTCCACAGAGAGGAGGCCTATACCCCCCCATGCTTGGCTCACAAAGTGGGGGGCAGATGGACAGATGCCCGGTCATCCCATGAGGTCACAGGCCCAAGCTAGGGAGCTGGGGCACGGTACAGAGGACGACATGCAGGGGAGAGCACGGGAGGGAGGAGCCTCTTCTGCCTCACTGCACCCCAACACGAGGGCAGAAAGTCAGAACATGGAAAACCCTCTCTTCTATTATGAGACGTCAGGTACTCTAATGATCTCTGATTATGTCCTAAAGGTAGACAGTTCATGGTAGAGTTTGTGAGATGAAGGAGATACAAAATTAGAAGGGATTAGAAAAATTGAAGACCCTTATCTGCCAGTGCAAAACTCCCTGCTGGTGACTGTGCTCAGACAAATCACCAAACATCACAACAAACCAGTCACTTTCTAGGGAGAAGCTCTGGTCAGTTAAGGTTATGTTCCCGCACACTCACGGGAGGGGCCCCTCTCGCAGGACTGAGGGACCTCAGACCCTAGAGGTATCTAGGGTGGCTCCCTTATGAAATAATGGGCACTAAGGAGAGGAAAAAATGATCTGCTGAGAGACATGACCTGAAGGTTAGCATGAGCCAAAATCGCTCACTTTGCCAGCAGACCACCGGGCCCCAGGGTGACCGGCCACAGGAGGCAGCTCCCGGGTTTGGGGGCACCTGCTCAGAGGGGCCCGAGGCACAGAGAGCTCCAGAGTCCTATGGAGGCTGGGGAGGGGGATCTGCTGGGACAGGCACCCACTGCCCCCAGGCCGGTTCCCTTCCAGATGGTTCCACTCCAACTCGCTAGCCAAACAGCTGGTTTCAAAAGGCACCTTCGGGAAACGGAGGGATTTGAATGCAGTTATCTTAGAACTGAAGGTGTGTAAACAGGATCAGAGGCCAGCCTCGGAGTGGTGTTTCTTAGGGGTGAGGTAATGGAGACATCAGGGACCCTGCCCTCCACACCCCTGTGCTGAGGCTGCAGGGCCCCCCTTCCCTGCTCTGCCCCCGGGGCTGGGGTCCAGGTGGATTCCTGGGATGGCCTGATCCTCGGAGAGGGTGGTAAGGGGGTCCCGTCCCCGGGGTCAGGGTGGGTGTGGGATGAGGCCAAGCCGGGGCTGTCCCAGCACAATGGTGGGTGGTCTCTGCCCCTCCAGCTCTGCTCAGAGCCCCCCGAGCACCCCTCAATCCCAGGCCAGGGCCTGGGTCAGCAAGAGCCAAGCAGCGCAGGTGCCGAGCAGGCTACAGAGACAACCTTCCATGGCTCCCGGCAGTTTGTGAGCCGGGGGGTGACTGGGGGGCGGGACAGTCAGAATTGGGGGTTTAGAGGTGGAGTAATTTCTAGGGAGGCAAGTTGACAGATGTGTATCAATGCTGGAGTCAGTCTAGAAACTGTCTTTCCAGCTGGGGCCTTGCTGTCTAGACGAACCTCTGATGGTCCAAAAGAAAAACTGGTTTTAAATACCAGGTGTTTATTTTTTCCTTGAATCTTCCGAATCAGCAATACGTTCTAACAGGTCCTTCAAAAGAAGCACTTTTTTTTTTTATCAACAATGAGTAATTGAGAGTTCAGGCTCGTCCCTGCGACGGGGCAGGCAGGAGGGGCTTCTCAGCCGGGACAGCCAGGTCCACAGCACACATGGGACCCCAAGCAGCATTCTGGGACAACGTCAGCCCAATTTATGCTAAAAGCATGACAGTGGCAAATACTGAAATGGAATCAAGAAAAGGTTCAAAAAAAGACGTTTCTAAATCATGTAATTCTGATAAGAGTGTGCATCGGTGACCCTCTGGATGGTAGGTTGCCAGTATTCACCACAGCCTTCTAATTTTGTATCTCCTTCATCTCAGAAACTCTACCATGAACTGTCTACCTTCAGGAAATAATCAGAGATCATTAGAATACCTAACATCTTATAATAGAAGACAGATTTCCCACACTATGACACATTTATACAGTGAAATACTACTGAAACCATTAAAATTATTTTGAAGTTTATTCAGTAATTTGGAAAGAGGTTTCTGACATACTAATAGTGTTTTTAATTGGCCCTTTCACACTCATTTAATAGAAAATAACAAATACTGGCAAGCACTGGGGAAACTGGAACCCCGGTGCACGGCTGGTGGGAACGTGCTCTGGAGCAGCTGGTGTGGACACGGTACGGAGGCCCCTCAACACACTCAACACGGAACTCCCCTACGGCCCAAGTCCCTGCTTCTAGGTATTCACGTGGAAGAATTAAAAGCAGGCACTCAAGCAGATGCGTGTACGCCCATACCCATGTGCAAGCATACGGGCATGCAACCACACCCGTGTGCAACTGCACACACGTGTAACCATACAAGTGTGCGACCACACAAGTGTGCAAGTGTACCAGCATGCAGCCATACGTGTGTGCAACCGTATGAATGTGCTACCACACGAGTGTAACCACACGTGTGCAACTGTGCACATGTGCAACCGTATGAGTATGCAACCACACATATGCAAGTGTACCAGTGTGCAGCCATACGTGTGTGCAACCGTATGAATGTGCTACCACATGAGTGCAACCACATGTGTGCAACCATACGAGTATGCAACCACACGTGTGCAAGTGTACCAGCGTGTAGCCATACACGTGTGCGACCATATGAATATGCTACCACATGAGTGCAACCACACGTGTGCAACTCTACACCTGTGCAACCTTATGAGTGTGCAACCACACGTGTGCAAGTGTACCAGCATGCAGCCATACTTGTGTGCGACCATATGAATGTGCTACCACACGAGAGTGCGACCGTATGTGTGCAACTGTACAGATGTGCAACTGTACGTGTGCAACTGTACCAGCGTGCAGCCATATGTGTGTGCAACCGTATGAATGTGCTACCACACGAGTGCAACCATACATGTGCAACTGTACACCTATGCAGCTGTACGGGTGTGCAACCACACGTGTGCAAGTGTACCAGCATGCACCCATACGTGTGCAACCATATGAATGTGCTACCACATGAGAGTGCAACCATACGTGTGCGACTGTACACGTGCAACCGTGTGAGTGTGCAACCACAGGTGTGCAAAGTGTGCCAGCATGCAGCCATACATGCGTGTGATTGTACAGGTGTGCAACCATATGAGTGTACAGCCATACACGTGTGACCCTGCGAGTGTGCAACCACCCACGTGTGCAACCATACAAGCAGCATTATTCACAACAGCCAAGAGGAAGACACAATCTCAGGGTCCCCACACAGATGAAAGGATAAATAAAACGTGGTCGATACAGACAACAGGACACAGTCTTGAAACGGACAAATCCTGGCCCCTGCTATGACACGGACGGACCCCGAGGCCACTGCACCGAGTGAAACGCACCCATCACCAAGGGGTGGACACGGTGCTACTCCACTCACAGAAGGTAGGATGGCAGACACGGGGGCTGGGGAGGGGATGGGGTGAGAGTCTACAGAGGACAGAGCTTCAGCATGGGAAGATGGAAAGTTCTGGAGATGGAGGGTGGCGTGAATGAGCTTCATGCTGCTTAACTGGACACTGAAAGATGGCTGGAGTGGTAAATGGTAGGTATATTTCACAATAAAACAATTAAAAACCCTTGGTTTTAGTCATCTAATCCCTTTCACAGACCAAAATACGACCCAAGGTGCTCTCGGGCTGCCACAGAGGACCGGCATTTTCTTCTCCGCGCTCCTGTGTTTTGCAAACTTTCTACAACAAGTACATTTCCTGTCTGTTTCATGGCCGTTTCTGGCTTAAGCAATTCTACTTGGCAGTCTGAATTTGTGGAGCACATCAATCCTCTGAGGTTCGTATTTAATAAAGACACGGATAGGACTCACCTGTTTCCTGCAAGTGAGGAGAGTTTACAAGTAAAACCACCAGAAAATGGACTGGAGTCGGGGGTGGACAGAACCTCTGTCCCCACGCGTTGGTCACAGCGGCTCATGTACTGTCCAACCAACTCTGGCCACGTGCCAAGCGACGGGAAAATCATCGTAGTTTGGGTTTTTGGCTTTATCAGTAAGTAGTGAGCTTATTCACAGAAACAAACTGGTCAACACATCTTGGGGCAATAAATCTCTTCAATGGAAAAACCAAAACCAACAGAACGTTTTCCAAATACAACTGTGACCATTTCTGTAGACTCCTGTTTGCCAGATTAACACGGCAGGGAAATAACAACACACGACCCAAAATGACAGGGGGCGAGGGGGGTGAGAGGGGGGAAGAAACTGATGGTCTGACTTAGCCACGTAAAAATCACGCTGCGCACGCGTCTCACTCCGCACAGCAGAGACTCGGAATCACATGCTGGCTCTTCCCTCTGTCAACCCTCTTCCTGTAAGTTATACTCTATTAACTGGGGAACATTAAGAATTAGATAAAATACACCTAAAAGTGACCTGTAAACACCGCTTTTAAAAAAGCCTGACGGGGGCGCCTGGGTGGCTCAGTTGGTTAAGCGACTGCCTTCGGCTCAGGTCACGATCCTGGAGTCCCGGGATCGAGTCCCACATCGGGCTCCCCCTGCTCTGTGGGGAGTCTGCTTCTCCCTCTGACCCTCTTCCCTCTCATGCTCTCTATCATTCTCTCTCAATAAATAAATTTTAAAAGTTTTTTAAAAAAATAAAAAATAAAAAAGCCTGACAACATCGGGCACCATGGGACCTAACCCTGGGTTCCCCCATGCAAGGAGAAAGGGATTCCTGTTTAACACGTTCAGGAAGGAAAGTGGGCGACAAGGAGTTGGGCTCTGAGAGACACAGGCCTGTGGCCCTGTCCGTGGTATTTG